TTGACCCTCCAGCTGTTTTGGGACTATAGTTCCCATCACCCCTGACCACTGGTCCTGTTAGCTGGGGATGATGGGAGTTGTAGTCCCAAAACAGCTGGAGGGCCAAGTTTGGCCATCCCTGTTTTAGACTAATGAACAAACCCAATGCCTTTTTTCCACCAGCAAGATGTGACAGTTGCTATGAGGTAGGCAAAAAGCAAACAAACCCCAGACTGGCCCAATTTGTCTGCAGGCAAGTTCCTTCTTGCCCCCTGTTGTTGTTGTTGTTATTATTATTATTATTATTATTATTATTATTATTATTATTTATTGAATTTATATACAACTGATTAATTCCACAGCAAGGTCATGCACATGGACTTAAGTTTGAAGGTTTTTAGTAGATTTTGTCAGGAATGTGAAGCAATTTTTCACTTTAAAAAACCCCCAAAACTAAACATAACATAGTATAAATGTAAGCACAAAAAATAATAATTAGAGCATATACGCGAGGTTGTTCTCGGCCATTGTATTATCAGGCTATAATACATGGTCTGATGACTTTTGATTATGAAAGTACTTTACAAACCTAAGTCATGGGCTTGTATATGATTCTACATTTGTTCTTATGATTAGATCCAATTCTCAGGTTTCATTGCTTATTGGTGAATTTTTTCTTCATGCATTGAAGTTGCAATCTTATGCATTCTGTTTGCTTTGGGAGTTACGTGGTACCTTGGTTCTCAAACGCCTTAGTACTCAAAGAACTTGGAACCCAAATACTGCAAACCCAGAAATAAGTGTTCCGGTTTGCGAACTTTTCTCGGAAGTCGAACGTGCTCCGTTTTGAGTGCCACACTTCTGTTCTGAGTGTTACACTGAGGTCTGTGTGTTTTTGCTATTTATTTTGTGTTTTTGCGACTGTGTGGAACCCAGTTCAGCTACTGATTGATTGATTGATTGTGTGACTGCAGTACATTTTTTTTTTTTGCTTTCATTTTATCGATCAATGGTCTCGTTAGATAGTAAAATCCATGTTAAATTGCTGTTTTAGGGGTTGTTTTTAAAAGTCTGGAACAGATTAATCCATTCTGCATTACCCTCTATGGGAAAGCATGCCTTGATTTGGGAATGCTTTGGTTTTGGAACAGACTTCTGGAACGGATTAAGTTTGAGAAACAAGGTACCACTGTACTTCTGAGTAAACTTGAATAAGATCCAGTTCATATCTTTAGCCGGCGGCTTAACCATTACAGAAGATCAGTTGTTCAGTTCCGCACTCCCATCATGGATTTAACCTTGAAACCATTCCAGCTGTGCTAATAAGCCACAGGAAGAAGTAGAGGACACACACACACGAACATCTTTCTCTTACCTAATGTTGGAATGACTAAGCAGGAGCAGCTGCTCAGCTGAAGCCAGTTTCTCTTTCTTAACACATGAAATTAATAACAAAGGACAAGACTTGAAACTAGTTCACAGCTGGTAGTTGACTGATTTACATTCAGTAGCTACTGTTTGATGTGGCTTTCAAGCACAAGGTCAGCTATGTTTAATAAGAAATGAAATAATAAAGAACACTGGTTTTATATGTTTTGCTTGCAACATGCTTCCAGGTAAGTCATATCTTCCAAAACAGTGAGTCAGGAAATTTTAAATATGAGAAACATCCCGCAGATTTTATCTTAAATTGAAATGTTTGGCACCCAATAATAAGTAGTGATCTTATGCAGTGGCAGAATGAAGAGTTTCTGGTCTACAGAAATATAAAGGTGAGTTCACTTGGTCAAAAATGGAAAGAAAAAAACAGACACACAAAAATTCTAAACTAATGAAAAATATTGCTCAGATAAAAAATAAAATATGAGGATTTGCAGTCTCACTTTCTAAAGTGAATGCAGCTTTATGTTATAGTGAAGGAACTGACTGCAAAAGTGCCCCTTGTCATGCTATGAGCTCTCTTGCTGCTAAGAGATTATGGAAACCACAACAGATCCTCAAAATATTGTGTACTGGGTGGCTGTGCTTTAAGTATAGATTTTTTGTAATGGTGTGTATTTAGCTGATCATTTATATGTTTGTATATATCAATTTTTAGATTTAAAAAAGTGTTTTGTGCATTATGAATTTCTAAAACATCTTCTGAGTGTCTTGTTAGCCACCTCTGGCATTTTATAAGAAAAGGTGGGGTGTAAAGTGGTTTGAATCAGCAGATAATCTTCAGCCGTCCAGATGTTGTTGAGTTGCAGTCCCAGGTCCCCTAACACTCTTTTGAACAAACAAACAGCCTTACATCTCGGACGGGAATAGTTTTGAGATATATATCTCATTAGTGTACCCTAAGCCCATAGGGAAACTTTCTAAAGTAAAATTGATTTTTCCTCTGTATTGCTAGGAACTTTTTCAAAAAAAAGTTTTCACTGAGAACACTGCTTAGTAAGTTTCCTATTGTATTGCCTCCAGTATGCCTCTACAGGGTGGTGCTGGGGTCTAAACCACGGAGCCTAGGGCTTGCCGGTCGGAAGGTTGGCAGTTTGAATCCCCGCGATGGGGTGAGCGCCCGTTGTTCGGTTCCAGCTCCTGCCCACCTAGCAGTTCAAAAGCATGTCAAGTGCAAGTAGATAAATAGGTACCGCTCTGGGGGGAAGGTAAATGGCATTTCTGTGCACTGCTCTGGTTTGCCAGAAGCTTAGTCATGCTGGCTACATGACCTGGAAGCTGTCTGTGGACAAACGCCGGCTCCCTCAACCCATAGAGCAAGATGAGCACGCAACCCCAGAGTCGTCCGCGACTGGACCTAACGGTCAGCAGTACCTTTAAAGGTAAAGGTAAAGGGACCCCTGACCATTAGGTCCAGTCGTGGTTGACTCTGGGGTTGCGGCGCTCATCTCACTTTATTGGCCGAGGGAGCCGGCATACAGCTTCCGGGTCACGTGGCCAGCAGGACTAAGCCGCTTCTGGCAAACCAGAGCAGCGCACGGAAACGCCATTTACCTTCCCGCCAGAGCGGTACCTATTTATCTACTTGCACTTTGATGTGCTTTTGAACTGCTAGGTTGGCAGGAAGTACCTTTACCTTTAGATAAATAGGTACCACTCCGGCGGGAAGGTAAACGGCATTTCTGTGCGCTGCTCTGGTTTCGGTGTTCCGTTGCGCCAGAAGCAGCTTAGTCATGCTGGCCACATGACCCGCAAAAACTGTCTGCGGACAAAGGCCGGCTCCCTTGGCCTGTAAAGTGAGAAGAGCGTGCAACCCCAGAGTCGTCCGCAACTGGACTTCACTGTCAGGGGTACCTTTACCTTACGCGTCTACAAGAAGACACGATCATTGTTAACTGCTCCGAAATAAAAATCACAAAAGTAAATAAGTGTATATGTGGGGTGTTGTTTTTTTTGGGGGGGGGGTTGGTCAGTATATCATCTAACCATACTCCGGGCTACTGTGCTTGAGACAAAACAATGGAGGCATTGTAGGAGAGGTTCCTCTGTGCGCTGACAGACATACTAAAACATTTGGACCATGTTAAGAATTGTTTTTCCTGCTGATTTTAAATGAGGTGCTAACTTGGGAGACCTTTGCCCCTCTTTCTCCAGCTTCCTACTGGAGGAAGTGTTGTTGTGATACACATGATGCAAAAAAACCCCCTAAAAACGCTGAGCACTGCCAAGGAATCCTCCTTTCTCCCAAACTTTTAATACCGCTAATAATTTTGTTGCAACCACAATGTGGGCCGGCTTGTGTAGCAGATTGCTTTTTCAGGAAAAAAAAAAACCGTTAAGCTCAGTTCAGCTGAAACAGTTTAGAAATTTGAGCAATTTGTTTCTTACCTCATGGAAGCATTAGAGATGTGTGTGTGTGTCTTGCAACCTCTGTTGCTTTGCATTCCTTCCCCCTACTTTTTCCCTAATTTAGCTTCGAAGTGGATGACAGAAAGTTATACTGAGGAAATATTGGTTCACTCAGCTATGAAGCTGAGTCATTTTTCACCTGTCACTAATCTCACTGTAACTTACCTATCAGGGTTGCTATAAAGCAGGCATGGCCAAACTTGGCCCTCCAGGTGTTTTGGGACTACAATTCCCATCATCCCTGACCACTGGTCCTGTTAGCTAGGGATGATGGGAGTTGTAGGCCAACAACATCTGGAGGGCCAAGTTTGGCCATGCCTGCTATAAAGGGTTGCTTCTTTGTGTGCTTCCTCAAGAGGTCCGGAGGGTGGCAACACGAGAACGGGGCCTTCTCGGCAGTGGCTCCCCATCTATGGAACGCTCTCCCCAGAGAGGTTTGCCTGGCACCTTCATTATACACCTTTAGGCGCCGGGCAAAAACATTCCTTTTTAACCAGGCCTTTGGTTGATTTGATTGACATCCTATGCCCTTTTAAAATGTGCTCTTTTAGGGGGGGCTATTGGGTTGTTGTTATTTTGATTCTATATTTTGTGGTTTTATATTTTGATTTTGTTCTATGAGCTGCCCTGAGACCTCCAGGTACTGGGCGGTATATAAATAAAATAATATAAAATATAACATAATAAAGATTGGGTGGTCATAGGCAAAACTATGCTGTACAGGCTTTCTTGAGCTCCTTAGGGGAAGACCTCTGCGGTGGCTTCTGGTTATGAAATGATGTCCCCATAGAGGATTATTATTATTATTATTATTATTATTATTATTATTATTATTATTACCATTTCTACCCCTCCCATCTGGGTGGCTTTCAACAGAACATTAAAAACAGAATAAGACTCCAAACATTAAAAACTTCCCTACTTTATGTCATCTGGGTACTTTTGAGTGGGAAAGATCAGATCCTTCTCCAATACATCAGGTCATTCATTACACACATTACAGCTGTCCTTTTGTAACATGTTGCCTTTTGTAAAAGTCATGACAGCATGTTTGCAGGTCTGCAACATCCTGGAAAACAATATTTTTCTTATATAGCACGTGTGCTCCAAAACACTGTAAGTGAATAAAAATAAGAAGTGTAGTGATTACCTGTGATCCTTGTGTTTTCTAGGTATAGCGTATCTGAATGGGATGTGCAGCGAAAAGCGGAAATGTATTATTGCAGAGGATAATGGCTTGAATCTCGCATTTACTATTGCCCATGAAATGGGTCACAAGTAAGTAGATAAAACAAGTATGATTGAACTTTATGTTGGCGTTCCAAGTTAAACACTGTTAGTAGTCTGAAAAAGGAGATTTGGTATTCATGTGTACATTTAAATAAATAAACCCTTCTTCCCTATATTTGATTTTGTTCTGTGAACCGCCCTGAAACCTCTGGGTATAGGGCAGTATATAAATTTTATTATTATTATTATTATTATTATTATTATTATTATTATTATTACCATGGCTAATTTACTTTTGATATTTTTTTAAAAAAATCTAATTATCATAGAATTGTAGAGTTGGAAGAGACCCCTTGAGTCATCTAGTCCAACCTTCTGCAATTCAGGAACCTCAAGTAGATCATAGATGACAGATGGCCATCCAACGTCTGCTTAATAACCCTGAAGGAAGGAGAATCCACTACATGTGAAAGTACTTGGATGGTGTTGGATATATTCAGTAAACAGTTTGGAGATGATTTGGGATGAACAACTAGAATTAAACTAGTAAATAAATGGAAGGCAAATGAAATTTCAGTTGACATCTGATTTGGGAATGTTTGAAGTATTTAGCTGCTGGTTAGGAGAGCTAAAAGAGCAATAAATTTAATTGTAAAGGAGAGTATGTTTTTGAATTTCTGGAACCGGAAGCTATACTTAATGTGTTTTCTAGGCATACGTGAAATTTCCAAACCCACATGCACCAAGTTTAGGGGAACAAAAAGGGATACTCACATTGGTTCATCTAGTGCAGGCATGGCCAAACTTGTGTTTTGGGACTACAGTTCCCATCATCCCTGTTCATCATCCTGTTAGATAAGGATGATGGGAGTTGTAGTCCCAAAACAGCTGGAGGGCCAAGTTTGGCCATGCCTGATCTAGTGGATTAGGAAAGGTGCTTAACCCCCTAGCCAAAGATTTTCATCTACAAATGCATCCTCCACCCAACTCCTGTTCTTGTTGTCAAATAATCTTTTAAGGCATTGGTTTCAAATTACATTCTGTAGAAGCTTGCGATACTACAACAGGCTTTTGAAGAAGATTGCTCTGGTGAAAACCACATTGGCTTCTCTTGGTTATAGACCAAAACACAGAGAAAAGTTGCCCTTAGTCCTGTCCTGGCTGGAAGGGACAGAAAGTACAAGATGTCTCTGTGTATGTGTGTGTGTGAATGTGGGGCTGTTGATGAAGGCTTACCAAAGGGTTTGTCTGGTCCTGACTGTTTCTTTTGTCTGATATTCTACACGTGTGCATGCTGCAGCCAACATCCACCGTTTGCTCTGTGGATAGTTGCAGCTGATGACACTTGTATCTGTGCTCTCTAGTCAACAAGCATGCAGTTGTGTGGTTTTGGCTATGGCACCCCAACATCTTCATAGCCATTAATGGGGAGAGTTCTGTTCAGTTTCTGTTAATTGATTCTCATGGGAAACTTACAGATTCTGGCTTCGCACAATTAACTCAAGGCAGTGTCAATTTACTCTTGGCAGAAAGCCCAGGTCTGCTTGATCTAGAAACTACTTACTCTGATTTGGTTAACGACCAGCACTCAACTCTGTTATCTAGGGATTGCTAGCACAGTGTGATGTGAGGTGTGTTAGGAGTTGGAGTAGAAGTGCTGTGTATGGTTTTGAGAGAGAGAGAAAGAAAGGATTTATTTTGCTTTGATTTGTATGCAGAAACTCTGCTGGTTTTATTTTTCCTTTTAATAAATCCTGTAAATAGTTATTCTGAGTCTAGCTGACTAGTCATTACCGCCGCAACTAGCTTCCTCGCTATGCAGGAAAACTCTGCTACGTTTGGGCTAAAGCCAATAGGGCTATGCCTGACACTTCAAAGTTCCATGAAGTTCGACACAGGGTGTCAAATTTGGCCTGCAAAACCTTTTGTTTCAGAAAAATGCCAATCGGCCGGTGTCACTTTGACGATTCTACACTGTCTGCCCATTTCCCTGCTTGTGATCAGCTTTCTGGAAACACAAAACATGCCAATGGCATTCCTTTCAGTCGGTCATTGTTGTGTCTCAAAGCCCCCAAGCCACCCCCAGAAGAATAAAGACACAAGGACACAGAATTTTAGGTTAATGTTAATGGGCAAATTTAGGCCACAACTTTATTGGTTACAGAAAGTGAGCGGTATTGGCTTAGGCATTGACACCAACAGACTATATCTGACTCCCTGCCCACCTTGCAGGAAGTCTGGTAAGGGTAAACCACCAGTAGGGGGAGCCCTGCCAATGTGGATCGACTCGAGCATCCCCTGGGTTCCCGATGGGGTTGTGGCATTGCCCTAGCCCATGGGTAGGCAAAGTAAGGCCTGGGGGCTGGATCCAGCCCAATCGCCTTCCAAATCCGGCCCGTGGACGGTCCGGGAATCAGCGTGTTTTTACATGAGTAGAATGTGCCCTTTTATTTAAAATGCATCTCTGGGTTATTTGTGGGGCCTGCCTGGTGTTTTTACATGAGTAGAATGTGTCATTTTATTTAAAATGCATCTCTGTATTATTTGTGGGGCATAGGAATTCGTTCATATTTTTTCTCCAAAAACTATATTCTGGCCCCCCACAAGGTCTGAGGGGCAGTGGACTGGCACCCTGCTGAAAAATTTTGCTGACCCTAGCCCCTCCGCAGGCTTCGGATGAGATCCACACCCCCAGATTCCTTTAATGGAATACCCTTGAGCATGGAGGGGCAGGTGATGGCTGCCCCTCCCCCCTCCCACAACGCTATTCCAATGCCTAACCACCAAACCTTACAAAGTTGGGGCAATTGCTACGAGGCAGGCGAAAACATCCCCAGCAAACACACACCACATTCTTTCTTTCAGATACTGCTGTGTGCTCTGCCTTTCCACTGTCCCCAGAAGTCTTGTTATTATACTAACTTTGGGGCGGGCAGGGGATCGCATTAGCTTTACAGCCGTTATTGCCCAAGCATTTTGAGAGCAGCGAGTGTTACAGAACCGAAAGCGGAGCACCAGCAAATAAAACAGAGCAATAAGGCGACAGACCAGCCAAACCACAATTCACCCAACAACACTAAAAGTGTACATTGGATATGGATAAGCAGTAACGCTCCAGATTTATAGATTTATTTTTATTCACAGATATCCTGCGCAAGTGAACACCAACTTTCCTCAAGCTTAGGAAAGATATTTGAGATGAAAATTTAGTATCCAAGAGAGAATTAGAAGAGAAGTAGGGCAAAGATGGAAAAGAGATTAATAAGAGGAATATTCTTGCTATTGCAATTCAGCTATAAAACCTGATAAGAGATTTCCCCCTAATATGTTTGCTTGTTCATACACTGTCCTTCATCTGAGGATCACAGGTCCCAAGGGCAGATCTCCTCTCTGCTAGAGAGCCTGCTTCTGCTGCCAACTGATTGCAGGATTGCACCCCAAAGCAATGAATTGCTGCAATGGCCAAGAACAGAAAAGCATCCACAGTTGGATGTTCTTATAGATACCTTCTTTTTTGGCCATCACCCGAAGCTGAGTAAGAGTGTCTTCCATGAATATTGTCTTAACGGTGTGTCCGTAAGTGACTGCGAAGGCCAATTCTGGATCCTCATGCCATCGGAATAGAGCCTTACTGCGAAAATTGTGCATTGATCCGTGTACACTGATCTCCACACACAGAATAAATTCATGCACAAGAGTCTTCCAAAAACCCATCCAGAATTGACAGATACCTGGAGTGCAACTCTGTGCGTGTCTACTCAGATAACAGTCCCACTGTGTTCATGTGAGATACAGATTGCTCCGTTGAATGTGGCAGCCTCAATGACAACAACATTTATGCGCGACATCTTGCTTGGCCAGGAATGGAACAATAAGAGCCCGTGGTTAAACTGTTAGTTAGCTGTTTGGGATCAGATGAAAATTCCAAACTGGTTTTTAAAGTCATCATTACAGAGAGTGCATTGCAATAGTCAATCCATGAGATTACTGAGGCATAAATATTGGCCCAGGTGTTAAAAAAACAAAACACACCAAGGTGTAAATGGGAGAAAAATATACCCTTAGCTACTGCAATCGCAACCTAGCCATTCAGGAACATTGCTAGATCCCAACAGCACACTCACCTGGTACACCCGATTCTACGAGGAATCGTAATCCCCATCTAGAATCAAGTGTTCTGAAATTTAAAAAAAAAAACCAGAATGAAAGTACATTGTAAATACATATAACACAGACAATTACCTCTTGGATTATGTAAATGGGGGCCGCAAACTCCTTACTTGTACAGTTTCTCCATAAACTTTTAGTGAGTCATATAGGCCTCTCCAGTCAGCCACAAATATTCACACATTAGATTCTGACAAATGACACAATGACATACAAGACGACTGGGATTCACTAGTATTTTCCACTTTCATTGACCTTTTGAACAGATGTTTTTAACTTTGGGGTAGTTTAAGTCTTCTCCGTTAAACAACTAAGTTGCTGCTTATAATAAAATTCTGGCTCTTCAGCTTTTGCTTTCCTTTCTGTTCAATTTAATTGGTACTTTTTGCAAGCAATATTATTTGGCAGTAAATAGGTCTTCTATAGCTACACGACAAGGTTTCTGTGTTTTGGTATCTGTGTAAAAGTGCAGACCATTCTTATGCATGTCTGCCCCAAATAAACCCCTATTGAGTTCGATGGACCTGACTCACAGGCCTGTAGGTGTAAAATTGTGGTCTTAATTTTTGCTTTGGTGGTGATCCACTTTAGTGAGGGCAAACCGTATCGGAAAGGCAAGCAGCAATACAACAGTTGTCATCAATATCATACCATAATTTATTCACACACAAATGTTCTACTATTACACAAGTGGGAATCACCATCTTGAGTTTGGCAGGAAGAACTCTTAGGACAATTTGTAAAAACGCTTGCTTACCAATGTGGATTAAAAGTCCTTTTTTGGCACTACCATGCAATGGTTTTTGTTTCCACTATCACTCCCTAGGAAACCCTCAGAGCCCCAGAATGCTTCCTTACTCCATTTTGAATGCAAAAAGTATAGTTACTTTTTAAATGTATGCAGTTATTAAGGTTGATGTTGTCAAATGAAAACTTGCCCCTTGTCATCTGGCAGCATGGCTTGATTGAAGTTACAGTGGTACCTCAGGTTACATACGCTTCAGGTTATAGACTCTGCTAACTCAGAAGTAGTACTTCAGGTTAAGAACTTTGCTTCAGGATGAGAACAGAAATCAGGCTCTGGCAGCGCGGCAGCAGCAGGAGGCCCCATTAGCTAAAGTGGTGCTTCAGGTTAAGAACAGCTTCAGGTTAAGTACGGACCTCCAGAACGAATTAAGTACTTAACCTGAGGTACCACTGTAGTAGGGATAGAGCATGGGTAGGCAAACTAAGGCCTGGGGGCCTGATCCGGTCCAATTGCCTTCTAAATCTGGCCCACGGATGGTCTGGGAATCAGCGTGTTTTTACATGAGTAGAATGTGCCCTTTTATTTAAAATGCACCTCTGGGCTATTTGTGGGGCCTGCCTGGTGTTTTCACATGAGTAGAATGTGTGCTTTTATTTAAAATGCATCTCTGGGTTATTTGTGGGGCATAGGAATTCATTCATTTCCCCCACCATAATATAGTCCGGCCCCCCACAAGGTCTGAGGGACAGTGGACCGCCCCCTGCTGAAAAAGTTTGCTGACCCCTGGGATAGAGAATACTGTAGTATCTGCTGGGAGTAATGAAACAGACTTTGAACACACTCAACAAACAAACAAAACTTAGGCTACAGTCTCGATGCAACCAGTCATTAATATGCCTGTGTCATCACAGAAAAACTGAATTTGTTGTGCAAGGTTTTGTTCGGCTTTAGTTTTGGCTGGATTATTGGCTGACAGGAGTGTGTTAGTTGGGCTGTCAGTTCAGGATATTTTAACGTAAGGATGCCTGGCAAGAAAAGCTCTTTGACAGATGGAAAGTGGTTTGCTCTGCAGGAGGGAAAGTGCAGAATTCACATACTTTGGATCTGGGCCAGACGGTTACAATTGTTGGTGTGAGGTGGAGGAGAGAGAGAGAGAGAGGAGGATTTGCATTACGTTGTAGTCTTAGTAGCTACGATGCTTCCCTAAAATTAGTTTATCTGATTTGTGCAACTTGAGAAACCCAGAACGTACAATCCTTATATGCAGCCTTAGCTGTGCTGTTGATCTAGTTGGTTTTTCAACCCCACATCTCTCCAGTCTTCCTTCTTTCCCTCCACCTTCTTTCTTCCCTCCATCAAAGAGTTATAAGGAGTCAGCCTTCAGAAGCGGTATTTCTGAATCTTTTCAAGCTTTGAAATGGTGAATATTGGGTAGACAGTCGTTTATTTAATAAGACGGGGTGGGGGTGGGGAGCAAATAACATATATTTTGTCCATGCTTCCCTGTGGAAAAGATGCTTGTTAGAGTCATTGGGCATTAAATGGGAATTATTTTTTGTTGTTGTTCTTATTTTTATTATGTATTTTGTAGTTTTTAAATTGCCATTTTATGTTGTGAACCGCCCTGAGATCTATGGAGATATACAAATTTAAATAAATAAATAAATAAATAATTTGTTTCACTTCTATATCGCTTTCATTTTTTCAAAAAAATAATAATCTGAAAGTGATTTAAAATGTCAAATCCAGAATAAAACATGACAAAAGAAAGTCAGATATAAATTATACATTCAAAACAACATAATTAACAAGAAACTAAAATATTTCTTAAAGATTTCAAAATAAAACATTACAAATTCGGTCACTGCAGAATGCAGATTTAACACAACCAAATTAGAAATAAATACCTTATTTCAAAAGAAAACATAACTGGATGAAATCAAATATAAAATGCATATTTAAAACAGCGTAAGTGGCAAGAGAATCAAGTATTATTGTAAACATAGAACATATATCTGATGCTGTTGCTGCCAGTCCTGCCAATGGTGGTTCATGGAGGGCGACGGCTGTGGAACCTCAGGCTTGATGACCTTGGTTTGCACTAAGACACAGCCAAGATGGTCTTGGGCCTCTTCAGCAGCTTCAGTTTTTGTAGCTGGAGTCAGTCCAGTGGGGAAAGGCTTGCAAGGCAGGGAGCAACATTAGCAGTTCTGAAATTTACTCAGTTCTCAGAATTTAAGCAGCCTAACTTTTGAGCAGACCTGCAACCAACAGTCTTGTTGAGCTTGCTTCAGGAAGGCTGCAGTCTGCAGTCCTAACCACATCTGAAGTCCTGTTCAATTTCGTGAGCTTCCTATGAGGATTTCAGTCTTTAACTAGCAGCAAGTTTCATTAAACTTGGTGGGACAAACTTTTGAGTCAGATGTACTAAACTTCTGAATAACTTTGAACAACTACAACGTGTTGTCACCAGTGTGTGTGTGTGTGTGTGTGTGATTAAATATGGATTATAGGTAAATATATTTGGTCGAATCGGTTTTTAAAGAGAAATATTATGTACATATGAATATCGCTTACTCGGAAGTACCGTATTTTTTGCTCTATAAGACTCACTTTTTCCCTCCTAAAAAGTAAGGGGAAATGTGTGTGCGTCTTATGGAGCGAATGCAGGCTGCGCAGCTATCTCAGAAGCCAGAACAGCAAGAGGGATTGCTGCTTTCACTGTGTAGCGATCCCTCTTGCTGTCCTGGCTTCTGAGATTCAGAATACTTTTTTTCTTGTTTTCCTCCTCCAAAAACTCGGTGCGCCTTGTGGTATGGTGCATCTTATAGAGTGAAAAATATGGTATGTCTATTTTGAAAGGGAGGGGGAAACTACTGCCTTTCTGTGAGCAGTTTAAAAACTATTTATATATTTCCCTCTTAAAATAAGCTCTACTTTCAATACTTTCACATTTTTAGCATGGGAATAAATCATGACAATGACCACCCATCTTGTGCAGATGGTCTCCATATCATGTCTGGAGAATGGATCAAAGGGCAGAATCTTGGAGACGTTTCGTGGTCCCGATGCAGCAGGGAAGATCTGGAAAGATTTCTCAGGTAATTCATTCAAGAAGCGGAATTGCTTAATGTCAGCTTTTACATCTATTCATTTATTTCCTTTGATGGCTATAAATTTCAGACATGCCAAGTTTTCAGCACCCTGTGGCAGCTTCTGTATCAGGTTCAAAAGGTACTGTTGAACAGTTTTGAAAGTGTGGTGTCTCAGCTTTCAGTATTATTGGAGTTCTCCAGCAAGAGAACATGAGAGCTAATTGAAGGAAGAGGGTAGAAATAATTTTTAAAGCTTTATTCAGCGATGTTCAAAGCAAGAGGAAGAACAAGCAAGTAGGAGGTCCCTTAGAATCATAGAATCATAGAGTTGGAATAGACCACAAGGGCCATCGAGTCCAACCCCCTGCCAAGCAGGAAACACCATCAGAGCACTCCTGACATATGGTTGTCAAGCCTCTGCTTAAAGACCTCCAAAGACGGAGACTCCACCACACTCCTTGGCAGCAAATTCCACTGTCGAACAGCTCTTACTGTCAGGAAGTTCTTCCTAATGTTTAGGTGGAATCTTATTTCTTGTAGTTTGGATCCATTGCTCCGTGTCCGCTTCTCTGGAGCAGCAGAAAACAACCTTTCTCCCTCCTCTATATGACATCCTTTTATATATTTGAACATGGCTATCATATCACCCCTTAACCTCCTCTTCTCCAGGCTAAACATGCCCAGCTCCCTTAGCCGTTCCTCATAAGGCATCGTTTCCAGGCCTTTGACCATTTTGGTTGCCCTCCTCTGGACACGTTCCAGTTTGTCAGTGTCCTTCTTGAACTGTGGTGCCCAGAACTGGACACAGTACTCCAGGTGAGGTCTGACCAGAGCAGAATACTGTGGCACTATTACTTCCCTTGATCTAGATGCTATACTCCTATTGATGCTCCTTCTCCTTGTGTGGAGAAGATGGAGAAATGCTGTTGGGTGACAGAGAGAAGGCGGAACTGCTCAACCACCTACTTTTCAGAGGTTGGATGGACACCTGTCATGCATGATGTGGTTGAGATTGCAGGGCGTTGGACTAAATGACCCTAGGAGTCCCTTCCAACTCTACAATTCTGTGATTCTTTGTATTTTACAACAAAGGTTCTTATGTTCAAGATGGGACGTGGGTGGCGCTGTGGTCTAAACCACTGAGCCTCTTGGGCTTGCGAATCAGAAGGTTGGTGGTTCGAATCCCTGCAACGGGGTGAGCTCCCGTCGCTCTGTCCCAGCTCCTGCCAACCTAGCAGTTTGAAAGCACGCCAGTGCAAGTAGATAAATAGGTACCACTGCGGTGGGAAGGTAAATGGTGTTTCCATGCGCTCTGGCTTCCGCCACAGTGTCCCGTTGCTCCAGAAGTGGTTTAGTCATGCTGGCCACATGACCCGGAAAGCTGTTTGTGGACAAATGCTGGCTCTCTCGACCTGAAAGCGAGATGAGCGCCGCAACCCCATAGTCGCCTTTGACTGGACTTAACTGTCCAGGAGTCCTTTACCTTATGTTCATAGACACGTCTGTTCAAAATGGGGCAGAGCAATTGCATTCAATGTTCATTTTTGGAATATTAGGGAGCAAGCTATTGGTCTAATCCAGCAAAGAAGGCCCACAAAATACTGTTCATGAATTCTCTGGCAGGAGTCTGCCCATGTGTTGGGTTGGATTAGGGACTGTGTGCAAAAAAATAGGAATTAAATGCAGATGTGCACCTGGCTTAATTTATGTATCTTTACAAGGGAAACTTCTTCCATTAGATTTTGTTTGTTTCATTTTTATCCCCCCCCCAATTTATATTGAATAACGTTAATTTGAAACAATATGTGAATTATGCAAGTTCATGGTCATAATTTGTTAGTTCAACCTTTACACTAATTTAAAACCTTAGCGTTTCACTAAACGAAACAGAGTGGTTCTCTAAGCGTTCACTTTAAGATGTATAATTCCTTCTTTGTAGTTGTGTGCATGTTTTATGTCAGTACAATAACCAGCCTCTATTACTATTCACCAACTTCTAAACCTCTTTATACTGCCAGGTCAAAGGCCAGTAACTGTTTGCTACAGACAAACCCCCAGAGCCTTAACTCTGTGATTATTCCTTCAAAACTGCCAGGGATGACATACAATGCAGATGAACAGTGTCAAATTCTCTTTGGACCAACGGCCTCTTTCTGCCAAGAAATGCAGGTAACGATGATGACACATTTTAATTCATCCACTAGCTATTACATCCATTCTTTGGCTTTTTGTGTTCCATAACAACGAGGGGTTGAAAAATAAGAAATATAGAGTGGTTCCAAAATGCTTACTCTTACTAGCTACCCAAAGCTACCTTAAATTGTTCCCATCCTGCCTTGCATTTTTCAGTATATAAAGGTCAGGTGTTTTGTGGCAAGAAGATTGCTGTGTATTCCTAAGGTGAAGCAGATTTGACACTTTCCTCCGCCCCCTTCCCTGTTCTGCTGTTTTTAGAAAAACAAGGCTGCTGTAACTGAGCTAGAATTTCTGTCACTGAGGAGAAAAATTCCTGGTTTTTGGATAAGACCCAGAGTCAGATTGTAGAGGAAATATATTAAGAGTTTTATCCAACATCACAGCTGATTTTACAGGCAACTTCAGGCCAGAAGGATAAAGCTAGAAGGATCAAAATACACAGAAAGAGCAATTATCTCTAGCAGTTATCTCTGAATATAAACCTAGCTGCATATATTGCTTAAGATATACGGAAGCAGTGAGTATTGATATATTCCTGGCTGGCTGGCCCCCAAAACATCTGGGGGGCAAATGGTAACCCACACAAGAGTTTGCCATTCTCCGGGCTGCAGCTACCTCAAAGTTTGAAATCAGTGAAGAAATAGATTTCAGTTGATTTTTGTCAGGGAGAGTGAATGAGTCCAACCTATTTCCTGATTTGGTCCATGGGGTCACGAAGAGTTGAACACGACTAAACAACAAGCTTGGCTCATGTTCAAGCCAATTAAGTGTGATCCATGAGGACCTCATCCACCTCTAGCTCTTAAGCCTAAACTTGTATTTCCATGAGCCAGAATGCTAGCTAATAACCATGACCATGCCTGAATCCTTGGCATGAGAGGGATTAGGATGGCAGAAGATGGATAGAGAAACCAATGCATTTTTAAAATTTACATGAGCTAGCTGGGAATTCCTTCCTCATTTTGAATTGTGATCTACACCAGCCATGACTTGAGTGCACTGGAAACAGATTTTATTCTGTGACCAAAGCATAATTTTTATTTATATCCATGCTTGGCAGAGTTCGATCACATTCTGTTTATTGCCTTTAAAAGCAGCCACTTTCTCGTGAAATAGACAAAGCACTTTTGCCCAGGCAGACGCATTATATTCATTATTCTGTGAACTGCCCTGGGACCCCTGGGTATAGGACAGTATATAAATTCCAAGAAGAAGAAGAAGAAGACGCGGGTGGCGCTGTGGCTTAAACCACAGAGCCTAGGGCTTGCTGATCAGAAGCTCGGTGGTTCGAATCCCCGCAATGGGGTGAGCTCCCATTTCTCGGTCCCTACTCCTGCCAACCTAGCAGTTCGAAAGCACATCAAAGTGCAAGTAGATAAATAGGTACCGCTCCGGTGGGAAGGTAAATGGCGTTTCCGTGCGCTGCTCTGGTTCGCAAGAAGCGACTTAGTCATGGTGGCCACATGACCCGGAAGCTGTACGCCGGCTTCCTCGGCCAGTGAAGTGAGATGAGCGCCGCAACCCCAGAGTCGGTCACAACTGGATTTTACTGTCAGGGGTCCCTTTACCTTTACCTGTACCCCAGCTTTCCCCCATGAGCCCATCTCACGGAGAGGATACTGGGCAAAACCTTTTTTGCTGCAATTATGGGCCACAGCACCACTGGGCAAAGGCGTCCTGTGCTTATTGGACACGTAATGGGACTTAAATACTAAATTTTACATTCTTAGTGTCTGTTTTCCTTCCCAGCATGTTATTTGCACTGGATTATGGTGCAAGGTGGAAGGGGAGAAGGAATGCAAAACTAAGCTGGACCCACCAATGGATGGAACGGATTGTGACACTGGAAAGGTACTTTGCAACCTTACTCTAAAGAAGTCACATTTGTGTATCGGCTGTTTGGTTGGTTGTTTTGCAGTTTTTTTTCTTGACCTTAATTCTGGAGTGTAAAACCCGCCAATTGGATTCTGAAGCAAAAAAAAGCATGCTTTCTTTGCTTTTAAATGGCGTGTGCATATGGCAGAGTGGGCATCATCTTTGAAGAGAATTTCATTTCTGTAAAGATAGTGACTGTTTAAATAGTACTTTCCAACGACAGGTTTGAAAGGTGCTTGAATTAATCTGAAGCCCAGTTAATTGGGTCAACCTTTGGTTGATTAAAAAGTTTTTAAGTTTCATTTTCTCTAACAAATCAATTGATTTAACTATTGAAGCCATCACTGATATACAATGGGACTCTGGTATCTTTCCCAGTAATTCTTTGGCCCATGATGAAATGCGTAAGACAAAAACTTCAGGATCACACATTTATTAGGCTGTAAGAAATAGGTTGTCTTTCCCCCCCTGTGCATGCAATGTATTACTCTTTCTGTATTCCTGACCCAGTTTCAAGTGCTTCTGCGTGTGTATTATGCATGGCAATTTCATACAACTATATTTTATAATAGAATAAAAATACTTCTTCATGGTCACGCTGCAGGATAAAAACTGGCACCTCGTTTTCTCATTCCATTATGAAGCACATCCAGTACTTGAAACTGAGATCCCTTTTTCAGAAGGAAAATGCAACTGAACGAAATAAATACTATTGTGCGAAATCCAAAACTATTAAAATCAATGGGAAAGTTGTTGGTCCCATTTATCTGACAAACCGGCTCCCTTATTTCTGGATTACTGTAATCAGTCAAGTTGCTTCTACTCCCAAAGCCTCACCCCAGAATATTATAAATCCTCGTAACATATCTGTCTGATGGATTTTGCACTTGTATGTCTTTTTAATACAAAGATGTTTAAAAACTTATGTTACCAAATGCATCTCAAGTGCCTATTAAGAATTCCCAAAGCACTGTATTATTCGCCCGGAATTATTGTCCTGGTTTATTATAACAGTAGCATAAAAATAACTTTTTAATGGGAAATATTCATGAGTCTTGCACAAGCTGTGCATGCTTTTGACTATGTGCTGTCATAAAGTGAAGAAAATCCATATATATTTTCAGTGGGAACGAAAGGTCAGGCAGGCACATAGATTTAAATTGAAGCAAGTGCAACTAAGGTGTCTGCTTTGTCTCTGTGCTTGTCCAAGCTGGAGTGACTGAAATTGCTAAGTATACATACTTGGGTCAGTGTAACCCCCACTCCAGGGCAATATGCTTGGTTTCTGCCCAAACTCAGATTCCTCGCAGAGGCTTAAAATGGCTGCTATTAGGTAGCTAGGCAAGTTGACAGGGCCCAATAGCAGAGGAAGTGTTCCTTGCAGCACCAGAGGCCAACAGGAAGGTGTGTTCCTGTCATGCAATGGGTCCAAGACACAAGTCAAGCTGTTTACATGCGTCACGGCATTCCCATATATACCATATTTTTTGCTCTATAAGACGCACTTTTTCCCCTCCTAAAAAGTAAGGGGAAATGTGTGTGCGTCTTATGGAGTGCATGCAGGCTGCAGCTATCCCAGAAGCCAGAACAGTGAGAGGGATTGCTGCGCAGCGATCCCTCTTGCTGTTCTGGCTTCTGGCTTCGCCGCGCAAAGCCTCTTCAGGGCAGGGGAGGCCTTCATCTCGCTGCCCTGAAGAGGCTTTGCGCGGCTATCCCAGAAGCCAGAACAGCAAGAGGGATTGCTGTGCAGCGATCCCTCTCGCTGTTCTGGCTTCTGGGATTCAGAATATTTTTTTTTCTTGTTTTCCTCCTCCAAAAACTAGGTGTATCTTATGGTCTGATGCGTCTTATAGAGTGAAAAATACGGTATATATTTTGCAGCCATGATGTCCACACAATGCATTACATGGACCTCAAATTCTAAGACAACCAGGTCAAGTTAGGCTAAGCCTTACCTACATAGTATGTAACTCCTTCTAAAATGCTGCATTTCTAAATACAGTATTTTAGATTGTGCTTCTGGAAAATATTTGTGTACATTATTTTCACAAATATACACATTTCTGTGTGCACTTTCCCACTACTATGAACCCTTTGTATGCATTTTTTTTTGAGAACTTTAACATAAATTTTAACACAAATTTAGTGTGGATTTGAAAAACAGCTGTATTTTGGGTTGCATACTGGTTTGGGAAATGCAACCACAGTTGGTTTGCCGTCAAATGTGAACTGTAGAAATTTCTCCCCCAACTCTAGTTGTCCTATTACTACTTGATTAACAGGAAGCACAGTCATTCTACACCAGTGGGGGAAAACGAGACTTCCAAAAAGAAAATGCGAAAGTCCCTTTGAGTACCGAATGCCCAGACTTTAGGAATATGCTAGCTTTGTCAATAGGCATGAATTGTTACAGGATTCATCCAAATAGTAGGTCTGAGGGAGAAGGGGAATGAGATGTGCATTATGTATTCCAATGTTAGCCTTGCACTCCCATCAAAATGGGCAGAGAAGCAGTTGTGGGACCTGACAATTTCCTTTTTGGTTCTGGTTTTCCTTCTAAGTAGTGAGCTGAGAATACAGAGAGCTGTTTGCATGTATATACCGACAGGTGCTGGATCAGAGCTAAAATGGTTACCCTTTCAATGTGGCATATGGTTTGAACAGAATTATTGCAATGAATTATTGCTCATGTGTCCCCTATACATACATACGTACATACATACATACATACATACATTAATCTGAAAATTGACTTTTTAAATAGTGGTGCAAGGCTGGAGAATGTACCAGTAGGACATCATTCGCTGGACGCATGGAGGGCGAATGGAGCGCATGGACCACTTGCAGCAGAACCTGCAACACTGGAGTCAGCAGCCGACAGCGTCGATGCTCAGGGTAGATAACAACAGCTGCAGCTTTTTTTTTTTGTCCTTGCAATATTATTTACTAATATAGCTGTACCAACCTGGTTGCGCACAGATGCACTACATATTGGCGAGTCTTCTTTATTTGCCGAAACTCTTTCTAGCCTCTCCTTCGTCACAAGTCATCCCAGGTTAAGATACAATAAGCAATTAAAAACCATAACGCAGGGCTTGCGATTACAAGTCTTCTAAGTGTGTTCAGCAGAATGTGCTTAGAAGTCCTCTTTTTACATCCATGCTAAAGGCGTGAATGTTGGAGGTCGAGGGGCTGCACCCAGGGGACATTGAGGTGGGGGACACCTTGTTCCCCCCCCCCGACACAAATCAGGCTGAACTAATTAACGTGGTTAATGAATGAACTCCTTCATGGATCACTGCCTTGCCGTGGCGAAGGGACTTGAATAACTCAGAGAAGCTATGAGCTATGCCATGCAGGGCCACCCAAGATGGACAGGTCATAGTGGAGAGTTTTGACCAAACGTGATCCACCTGGAGCAGGAACTGGCAAGCCACTCCAGTATCCCTGCCAAGAAAACTCCATGGACAAAGACAACAGGCATATAAAAGTTATGACGCTGGAAGATGAGCCCCTCAGGTCGGAAGGTGTCCAACATGCTACTGGGGAAGAGCGGAGGACAAGTACAAGTAGATCCAGAGCTGATGAAGCGGCTGGGCCAAAGCCGAAAGGACCCTCAGTTGCGGATATGCATGGAAGCGAAAGGAAAGTCCAATGCTGTAAAGAAAAATATTGCGTAGGAACCTGGAATGTAAGAACCATGAACCTGGGTAAGTTGGATGTGGTCAAAAATGAGATGGCAAGAATAAATATTGACATCTTGGGCATCAGTGAACTAAAATGGACGGGAATGGGCGAATTCAGTTCGGATGACTATCATATCTACTACTGTGGACAAGAAACCCGTAAAAGAAATGAAGTGGCCCTCATAGTCAACAAAAGAGTGGTGAAAGCTGTACTGGGATGCAATCTCAAAAATGATAGAATGATCTCGATACGAATCCAAGGCAGACCTTTTAACATCACAGTAATCCAAGTTTATGCACCAACTACTGGTGCTGAAGAAACTGAAATTGACCAATTCTATGAAGACTTACAAGACCTTATAGAAGTGACACCAAAGAAGGATGTTCTGCTCATAATAGGGGATTGGAATGCTAAAGTAGGGAGTCAAGAGATAAAAGGAACAACTGGCAAGTTTGGCCTTGGAGTTCAAAACGAAGCAGGGCAAAGGCTAATAGAGTTCTGTCAAGAGAACAAGCTGGTCATCACAAACACTCTTTTCCAACAACACAAGAGACGACTCTACACATGGACATCACCAGATGGGCAGCATCGAAATCAGATTGATTATATTCTCTGCAGCCAAAGATGGAGAAGCTCTATACAGTCAGCAAAAACAAGACCTGGAGCTGACTGTGGCTCAGATCATCAGCTTCTTATAGCAAAATTCAAGCTTAAACTGAAGAAAGTAGGAAAAACCACTGGGCCGGTAAGATACAATCTAAGTCAAATCCCTTATGAATACACAGTGGAAGTGAGGAACAGGTTTAAGGATTTAGATTTGGTGGACAGAGTGCCTGAAGAACTATGGATGGAGGCTCGTAACATTATACAAGAGGCAGCAACTAAAACCATCCCAATGAAAAGGAAATGCAAGAAAGCAAAGTGGCTGTCCAACGAGGCCTTACAAATAGCGGGTGAGAGAAGGCAAGCAAAATGCGAGGGAGATAGTGAAAGATACAGGAAATTGAATGCAGATTTCCAAAAAATAGCAAGGAGAGACAAGAAGGCCTTCTTAAACGAGCAATGCAAAGAAATAGAGGAAAACAATAGAATGGGAAAAACCAGAGATCTGTTCAAGAAAATTGGAGATATGAAAGGAACATTTTGTACAAAGATTTCCATAATAAAAGACAAAAGTGGAAAGGACCTAACAGAAGCAGAAGACATCAAGAAGAGGTGGCAAGAATACACAGAGGAACTATACCAGAAAGAAATTGATGCCTCATATACCCCAGGTAGTGTGGTTGCTGACCTTGAGCCAGACATCCTGGAAAGTGAAGTCAAATGGGCCTTAGAAAGCATCGCTAATAACAAGGCCAGTGGAAGTGATGATATTCCAGCTGAATTATTTAAAATTTTAAAAGATGATGCTGTTAAGGTGCTACACTCAATATGCCAGCAAATTTGGAAAACTCAGCAGTGGCCAGAGGATTGGAGAAGATCAGTCTACATCCCAATCCCAAAGAAGGGAAGTGCCAAAGAATGCTCCAACTACCGCACAATTGCACTCATTTCACACGCTAGCAAGGTTATGCTTAAAATTCTACAAGGCAGGCTTAAGCAGTATGTGGGCCAAGAACTCCCAGAAGTGCAAGCTGGATTTAGAAGAGGCAGAGGAACCAGAGACCAAATTGCAAACATGAGCTGGATTATGGAGAAAGCTAGAGAGTTCCAGAAGGATATCTACTTCTGCTTCATTGACTATGCAAAAGCCTTTGACTGTGTCGACCACAGCAAACTATGGCAAGTTCTTAAAGAAATGGGAGTGCCTGATCACCTCATCTGTCTCCTGAGAAATCTCTATGTGGGACAAGAAGCTACAGTTAGAACTGGATATGGGAAAATTGGGAAAGGAGTACGACAAGGCTGTATATTGTCCCCCTGCTTATTTAACTTATATGCAGAATTCATCATACGAAAGGCTGGGCTGGATGAATCCCAAGCCGGAATTAAGATCGCCGGAAGAAATATCAACAACCTCAGATATGCAGATGACACAACCTTGATGGCAGAAAGTGAGGAGGAATTAAAGAACCTTTTAATGAGGGTGAAAGAGGAGAGCGCAAAATATGGTCTGAAGCTCAACATCAAAAAAACGAAGATCATGGCCACTGGTCCCATCACCTCCTGGCAAATAGAAGGGGAAGAAATGGAGGCAGTGAGAGATTTTATGTTCTTGGGCTCCATGATCACTGCAGATGGTGACAGCAGTCACGAAATTAAAAGACGCCTGCTCCTTGGGAGAAAGGCGATGGCAAATCTAGACAACATCTTAAAAAGTAGAGACATCACCTTACCAACAAAGGTCCGTATAGTTAAAGCCATGGTTTTCCCAGTAGTGATGTATGGAAGTGAGAGCTGGACCATAAAGAAGGCCGATCGCCGAAGAATTGATGCTTTTGAATTATGGTGCTGGAGGAGACTCTTGAGAGTCCCATGGACTGCAAGAAGATCAAACGCATCCATTCTTAAGGAAATCAGACCTGAGTGCTCACTGGAAGGACAGATCGTGAAGTTGAGGCTCCAATACTTTGGCCACCTCATGAGAAGAGAAGACTCCCTGGAAAAGACCCTGATGTTGGGAAAGATGGAGGGCACAAGGAGAAGGGGACGACAGAGGATGAGATGGATGGATAGTGTTCTCGAAGCTACAAACATGAGCCTGACCAAACTGCGGGAGGCGGTGGAAGACAGGAGTGCCTGGCGTGCTCTGGTCCATGGGGTCACGAAGAGTCGGACATGACTAAACGACTAAACAACAACAACAATGAATGAAACCAAATCCTGCCTACTTAGCCCTATCCCTCAATTCTCCAATTGTAATTAAGTGTCTTGTTCACAACAGAGTTTAAATAAGAGGCCTGTAACCACGGAGCTTGTATACACATTAGCCATATAGGCTATGCACTGTGGAAACCGTGGCCCAGAGTCAACCAACCCAAGAGGAAGCCAGGGTAGGGGATCCCGTTCATGCAACAGGGCTTCCCCCTCCAACCACTGCAGCTCCCCCAAATCTGTTCTGGAGGGTCAGAAGAACCCCCAGAACATTGCACAGAGGGAGGAGAGCTGGGGTTGTTCAATAATAATAATAATAATAATAATAATAATAATCATCATCATCATCATCATCATCATCATCATCTATACCCCGCCCACCTGGCTGGGTTTCCTCAGTCACTCTGGCTGGCTCCCAACAGAATAATAATAATAATAATAATAATAATAATAATAATGTCATCAAACATTAAAAACTTCCCTAAACAGGGCTGTCTTCAGATGTCTTCTAAAAGTCAGATAGTTGTTTATGTCCTTGACATCTGATGGGAGGGTGTTCCACAGGGCGAGCACCACTACCAAGAAGGCCCTCTGCCTTGTTCCGTGTAGCTTCACTTCTCGCAGTGAGGGATCCGCCAGAAGACCCTTGGAGCTGGACCTCAGTGTCTGGGCTGAATGAAGGGAGTGGAGATGCTCCTTCAGGTATACTGGGCCGAGGCCGTTTAGGGCTTTAAAGGCCAGCACCAATGAGCCTGCCATTATTTACCATCTAGATCAGCAGTTCTCAACTTGTGGGTCCCCAAATGTTGTTGGCCTTGCTAGCTAGGTCCCCAAATGTCTCTGGCCTTGCTAGCTAGGGGTGATGGAAGTTGTAGTTCAACAACATCTGTGGACCCACAGGTTGAGAAAGGCTGGTCTAGATCATGGGCAGGCAAACTAAGGCCCCGGGGGCTGGATCTGGCCCAATCGCTTTCTAAATCTGGCCCATGGACAGTCCAGGAATCAGTGTGTTTTTACATGAGTAGAATGTGCCCTTTTATTTAAAATGCATTTCTGGATTATTTGTGGGGCATAGGAATGCGCTCATATTTTTTTTCCAAAATATAGTCCGGCCCCCCACAAGGTCTGAGGGACAGTGGACCGGCCCCCTGCTGAAAAAGTTTGCTGACCCCTGGTCTAGATTTCCCTTTCGCCTTGAGTACCTTTAACTGCTACTTAAAGGCAAGCCTTTAACCAATTAGAGATAATCACTGATGTTATCTCTGACTACAAAGAACAATGCGGGGGGGGGGGAGCAATCTGTTCCTGCTGTAGAAGGTCCTCAAAATATCCCCTGCAAACAAGTTTACTATTTTGGTTTTGTCTTCCCTAGTCCAGCTCATGAAGCGGGGGAATGCCACGGTTCCAGAATACAGTACAAAATATGTGAGAATCCCTCTTGTCCCCCTGGAGTGCCTGCGTTCAGGGACTGGCAATGTCAGGTCTTCAGTGTAAGGGCATCATATCAGAAACATATCCACCAGTGGCAGGCTGTTATTGACGAAGGTAAGCCGAACTCACATTTCTGCTGCTAGCATTGTGCTGATACGTGTTATGCTTACTGCAAGTGATTCACACATTAGCAAAAAAGCGACAACCTTTTTTAAAATAAATAAATAAATAAACATCTTTACTGATAGTTCAAAAAGTACATAATTACATGTGCCCTGAACATGGTGAGACATAAATAAAAGAGAGAGAAAGAAAAAGAGAAGCAGATCCTATGTGGAAAGGAAAATAAAGGGGGGAGGGGGGAAAACCCAAAACTGTATACTTTACAAGATTGCTATTAAAATTAAAATAAAAAAAATAAAAAAAATTGTCCAGTAGCACCTTATAGACCAATTAAGTTTGTTCTGGTATAAGCTTTCGTGTGCATGCACACTTCTTCGGATTTTTTTTAAAAAATATTATTATTATTTACTGCGTCAGACCAACATGGCTACCTACCTGAAGGTTGCTATTGTACTTCACCAGATCTTAACCTATTACAGTATTTGTAAGAATGGATTCCAAATATCATTGAATTTGCCCATGGCAAGTCTGTGTTTACATGCAAGTTGTTCATACGTTGTGAGTTTGTATAAGTCTTCAATCCAATCGTAGACGGGAGCTGCATTTTAATTTTTCCAATTCATCAGTATCAGTCTTTTTGCTGTGGAAGGGGCACGGAGAGTCCACTCAGTTCTGCAGGGCTGTCACTTGTACTGCAGTTTGCAGGAGGTAAAAAAAAATAAAAATGGTTCGATTCTCTATTGAGCAGCAAGGAGAGACGAGTGCTTCTTAACTTCAGCAAACTGCAGCACAAATTAAAGAGCTGACCTTTCCTCCCAAACCTCTGCTCGTGAAAGAGCACTGAGGGACCGAGAGGGTCTTCTCTAGTTTGTGCTGAGGTTTGGAGAGAAGAAGATACATCAGCTGCTCAAAATAAACTTTTATTACCTTCTGCAGGCTATTGGAGAGCATGCTTGCCTTCCCCCAAATTCCAGAGAACATTGTTGAGGTATCCTCAGCCACCATAAATAATATCTGGCTTGGAAGCCAAGCCAACATTTGTGCATCTCGGGCAGAGGGTACCCTTGATTTGTTTTCCTTTGGGAAGAGTCCCTCACTGAAAATTACTCTCTTTTTATGTCTCAACCCATCCATTCTCTTTGCAGGAGACCAAGGAAGGTTTTAGTGTATGCCCTTCATTAGTAAGTCTGCTTGGAAGGAGAGCTTTCCTTGTGCTTAACCTACTAAAATGAGAGGGAGTTTGCGATCTTGTGTAGCTCTTTCGTTTTAATACTGCATGTCTCGAACCCTCTTCAGGTGCTCTGCATCAGAGTTAAGTAAACATGCAATAGAGAAGAGGATTTACCTCTGCACCTTCCATTGGTATTTCCCCATTCCCAGTGAAAGGTTGGTGGGCTGGGTTGATGGCTCCTCCCACTGGCAGAAGACAGGAAACAACCCTTTGGGAAGTAGGAATGCCCACAATTCAGTTCTGCTCCTGCCTCCGTTATAAGTAGGCAGCTTGCTTCTTTTTGCTCCTGCTGTTACGTCTCTTCAGGCCTATTTGAAAATGTTTTTCCCCTCTCTTCTTTCATACACTTCTTCTTTTACCTGTTCCTATCTTCTAGCCCAAGGGACACGGGTGGCACTGTGGGTTAAACCACAGAGCCTAGGACTTGCCGATCAGAAGGTCAGCGGTTCGAATCCCCGCGACGGGGTGAGCTACCATTGTTCAGTCCCAGCTCCTGCCAACCTAGCAGTTTGAAAGCACCTCAAAGTGCAAGTAGATAAATAGGTACTGCTCCGGCGGGCAGGTAAACGGAGTTTCCGTGTGCTTCTCTGGTTCTCCAGAAGTGGCTTGGTTATGCTGGCCCCATGACCCGGAAGCTGTACGCCGGCTCCCTCGGCCAATAAAGCGAGATGAGGGCCGCAACCCCAGAGTCGGTCACGACTGGACCTAATGGTCAGGGGTCCCTTTACCCTTTACCTATCTTCTAGCCCAGTGTTTCCTAAACTTGGGTCTCCAGCTGCTTTTGAACTACATTTTCCTGATCCCGGGTCCTGCTAGCTAGGGTTGATGGGAGTTGTAGTCCAAATACAGCTGGAGGCCTAAGTTTGGGAAACCCTGCTCTAGCTTCTAGGCACCTTCCCCTGATTCACTCTGATCCTTCACCTCTGTTCTCCCCTTTCTTCTCTGGATTGCTTCAGTGAAGGGACATCTTTAAAAGAAATGCCAGCGCAGAACCTCCATTGGATGAGGAGGACAGGGAAAGCTCAGTCATATAACACTAAGCCCACCCAGTTCTGCCTTGCCCAGGTTGCTGTCCACCTTCAGCCAATGGGGAAAGCCCTTTCAATGAAGAATTGAAAACTATCCTTCAGGTGGGATGCCAACTGTCCTTTTCCATTGCTGCCCATGTCTTGGAGATCAAAGTATTGTTTTTCCAGGGTTTACTACTACTACTACTACTACTACTACTAATAATAATTTATTATTTATACCCCGCCCATCTGGCTGGGCTTTCCCAGCCACTCTGGGCGGCTTCCAAAAAAATATTAAAATACTGTGATACATCAAACATTAAAAGCTTCCCTAAACAGGGCTGCCTTCAGATGTCTTCTAAAAGTCTGGTAGTTGTTGTTCTCTTTGACATCTGATGGGAGGGTGTTCCACAGGGAGGGTGCCACTACCGAGAAGGCCCTCTGCCTGGTTCCCTGTAACCTCCCTTCTCACAGTGAGGGAACCGCCAGAAGGCCCTCAGCGCTGGACCTCAGTGTCCGATTAGAACGATGGGGGTGGAGACACATAAAACACATAGAGAACATCCACAAGTACAGGAGACTCCAATATTTGCCTTCAAACTTGTGGAGGTGACCAGTATGGTGATCATGGTAGGGTTGGAATTTGCATGCTTGCTCCCCACTGCTGCCTTCCTTGCATGTTGACCTAACTCTGATGTAAAACATCTGAAGAGGTGTTCATAATTCCCACCTGGAATATAGCAGAAATGTAGCTTGGTATTGCAACCAGTACAAGCAGAATTTTGTATCTACGAAATGAGGTTCATCAAGCTTACCTGGTTTCCACTTACTCAAACAGAAAAACCTTGTGCATTATTTTGCTCTCCAAATGGAAAAGACCAGCCTATACTAATAACGGAGAAAGTGATGGATGGAACTCCATGCGGTCATCAGGAAATGGATATATGTGCGAATGGCAGATGTCAGGTAAATCAACGTTCAGAAGCCAGGTTTTAATATCTATTTATTGTGCGGTATTTCTTGAAAGTTTGGATCCCTGAATCCTGCTTTTAAACTTTAGTCTGCCTTTGTGGGATGGGGGCAGTGGGGGCAATTTAGTACTTGCTATATGCATTCTTTCTGGTCTCTATGGATTCTGCTTCTTCCTAAAACTAAAGCTAACATCAGTGTTTATAGTCCCTCCTTGTGATGGGGGACTTGTTCCTCATCTGCGTACCTTGAAGGGAGAAGCATCCTGTTATGACCACTTTTCTTTCAACCACATCAACAGCATAATGAAGGACTATCTCTGCTGAGCTTTTATTCTTCAGTAAAGTAAAAGACCTTTGAAAGTCTTGTAGGTTGCTAAGTAGGTACCGCTGCAGCAGGAAGGTAAATGGCGTTTCCGTGCGCTCTGGTTTCCTGTTGTACCAGAAGCGGTTTAGTCAATGCTGGCCACATGACCCAGAAAGCTGTCTGTGGACAAACTCTGGCTCCCTCAGCTTGAAGCGAGATGGGCACCGCAACCCCATAGTCACCTTTGACTGGACTTAACTGTCCAGGAGTCCTTTCACTTTATGCCCACTTACCTGGGTGTAACTTACTTATGAGCAAAATGTATAGGGTTTCAGTGTTAATCTCTTACTGTTAAACAGTCGGGGGGTTTTGGTTCCTTTAATCGCTTGCTTTAGGATTATTTTTTATTTTACGTGAATCTCTCTTTCCCTTCCCCATTGACTTAAGAAGAGTTATGGATGCAACCAAACTGTTGCCTTTCTTTGCTTAGGAATAAAAAACCATAGAATTTTAGAGCTGAAAGGGACCACGAGAGCCATCTAGTCCAACCCCCTGCAATGCCAGAATCCTTTGCCCAGTGCGGGGCTCAAGCCCATAAGCCTGAGATTAAGAGTCTCGTGCTCTACCAACTGTGCTATCCTGTAGAGCAGGGATAGCCAACTTCAGAGAGACTGCGATCTACTTTCAGAATTAAAATCTGGCAATGATCTACCCCTGTTTTGGGGGGGGTTCAGGTCGAAGTTCTTGAGCTTTTTTTAGGGAGGAAGAAAGCCCGGTTTTTATACAAATACTTTCTTAGGAGGGAAGTTCCGTTTTGGGGGGGGCGGGAGGTTAAAGGCAAGGGTCAAAGGGGAAAAGTCATTCACAATAATATCGCTTTGAATGAAAACAGCCACAGAGAGATAGCTCCGCATTCCCTTCCACTGATCAGACAACAAAATGGAGGGTGGTGCGAGGGGGCAGGATTCAGTTTCAACGATGCTGAGGAAAGGGAGGCAGAGATCGACCCGTGATCTACTAAAACCTCGCGGGAATCTACCAGTAGATCGCAAACAACCTGTTGAACATCCCTGCTATAGAGGGATGCAAGATGGATTGGGGCAGGGGGGGGGGAGTCCAGAAGAAGAAAGCAAAGAAGTCCCCCACCCCACCCAACCCCAGTCCTTCTCAACTGCTATTTAACAAAAAGTGGGGAGGGGCAAGGATATAAGGGCCAGATACGCCATTAACTTCATGTCTGTTTTGGCCGTCAGAGTCAATTCCTTATATTGTAATATTAATACTTGCAAGCTACATTGAGAGGCATAGCAAAGCCTTCCGTGAAAATGTCGTGATGCTTCCTTTTCGCCTCCAGAAGTTTGGGTGTGATGGCATCCTGGGATCTTTGGCGTGGGAAGACCACTGTGGCGTCTGCAACGGAGATGGGAAGTCATGCAGAGTTGTTAAAGGAGATTTTAATCATACTCGGGGAGCAGGTAAAAAAACCCCCAACCTTTCAAATTTAATGCTTTTTTACAGAAATTTGTAAATGTAATGAGCACTCTGCGTTAGATAAATCGATTAGTACCTTTTCATATTCTGTGTTGATTAAATGGTAGCATTCCATTCACGATAAGCAGATAAGGGCAAGAAAAGGCTTTCCTTATACCCAGTTTCAGACTTATTACTGCTGAGATGGGGGGTGATTAGGAACAGATGGGAACAAGTATTTAGTAAACCCCACTGCATACTTTTTGATACATGATACCTGGGTTTATTTACCATAGTTGAACATAAACATTTATCTGGATTAGCAGCTCTCCAATGCTCAAACATTAAATGAAGGAAAGAAAAGGGAGCAAATATCCAAAAATTCAATAGATATTGAATTCAATATTTATACTTAACATGATTCCCCCCCCCTAAATGAAATAGCTGAGAAGCTAAACAGTTGTCCAGATTCTGATGTGTGTTACTTTGCAGAAGAGCAAACATTTTTAATTTGAATTTTTAAATTTTGCATTAGGGATGCAATCATTTGCTTAGTGTGAGGCCTTCTGAGGAGACCTCAGGATACAGCACAAGTAATATTCTGCTGGTTTAGTTGGAGGTTTGCTGGCAGAATGACACTTGGGCCCTTGGAAGTCCCGCATAATGTCACCTAGAGCAGTGTTTCCCAACCGGTGTTCCGCGGCACACGAGTGTGCCGTGAGACGTTGCCTCGTGTGCCGCGAGATGCCTGGAGGGAGGCGGGCGAGTCGGGCGGCGAGAGGCGGGGCGGCGGCGGCGAGGAGAGGCCGCGCCTCCTGCTGCTGCCTGGCGCTCCTCCTCGCAGCCGGCAGCGCTGCCTGGGCGCCTCCGCGCGACTCTGCCTCGCTGGGTTTGGTCTCCCAGCAGAGACGGGTCACACGCGCCCCTCCCTCCCTCTCTCAGCCTGCGCGGAGGGAGAGCCAGAGAGAGGCATCGCTCCTGCGCGGCGGGAGAGGGAGCAGCCGGAGCGATGCCCCAAACGAACGCATGGGACCGGAGGGGAAATCCTCTCCGAGGCGGATTGAGCGCAGCTGAGAGAAGCCTTTCGAGGAGCTGCCGTGTCCCCTGGAAACCCCCTTCCCAGCTCTGCCTCAGCCGCCGCCGCCTCAGTTGCCGCCGTCCCTCAGTCCCTCGCTCTGCTGCCTCCTCCCACCCCCAAAGCTTGGAGGTTCCCCAGCAAGGGGGAGGGAAAAAACTTTCACTTTTGTGCGTCCCTCCCGGCGTGACGCTGCGCGCTGACGTCACGGGGCGGGGCTTTAATGGTGGTGTGCCGCGAGATTTTTTTTCAGTAAACAGGTGTGCCGTTGCCCAAAAACGTTTGGGAAACACTGACCTAGAGCATGAAAAAATAGGGTGTATCAAATATCCTATCATAATTGTTTACAAAATTAGTCCACTTCTTCCAGAAATCAAGAATTTTGGCTCTTTTCTGTTGCAAAATGCAAGTGATCAGTTTAATTATTACACTATTTCCCATATCTAGCCCAATCATCAGCTGTCAGCATATATTTTTGAAACAGGAGGGGGGACCATTAGTGGGGCTTTAATTTAGGCGTCTTCAGAATTGTTAGATTTCAATATTCAGAGTAAGTCAGCAAGTATTTTAAAAAACTGAATTAGAAGCCAAGACGTTTCAAAAGCAGTAAACATCACAATCAATACCAAATCAATCAGGGGTTCAGAAAGTAAAATTAAAGACATGCTTTGAGTCTTCAGGTGCGGTTGTGTCCTAGGATGGAGATAACCTAGGAAAAGGGAGGCAAAATCACAAATTACCCTGAAGGTTTAAGTCAGAAGACAGAAAGTTGGAGAGATTGGATATTGAAATTATATTTATAGAGATTTTAAACTGACCAATAAAACACTGGCAAAAATAAATATCCATAAGGAAATCTGTTTAAATCTTTCCAGTTCCATGGCTGAGTATTGTTGAAAGAAAAATGTTTTCCTCTTTTAATAACTAACGTAAACCACAGAAATGCCTTCTCATGTAGACCCCAGATTTTAAGCATGTTTGCCATAATTTGACTTTACAAATGCAAAAGGGATTGTGTATAAACACTTGGGCTTTTTCTCTCCGTTTTAACAGAGTAGCCAGTTTTTATGAAGCTCTCCCCCTTCCCTGAGTTTCAGAAATAGCTTGCCGGGTGCATATTTCTCAATGGAAACAACTTAAAAGGCTGTAAAAACACTGACTACAATCCTATGCCTAGTTACACGGTTACAAATCCCATTCATTTTTTCAAGAATTATGGACGTTTGCAACCACAGTGCTTATCTGTGGTCTTAATGATAAAGCACTATTTGTTTTCATTGAATCAGTGTCATTGCTGTGGTTTCTGCCCAAAGAAATGTTTGAAGGAATGCCTTACTCTCTTGTGTTCATTCAACTGTAGATCACTGTATAGACATATAACACACATGCCTTATATTTGTTTATTTTGGAGAGGGTTATTCAGAATTTTATTCAGAATTTGCCAAGTCATTTCTGATGAGTCTGGAAGGAAATCTGGGAGTCCCATTTCCTTGCCCCCCACGGTGGGGAAAAGTAAACACTGGAAGTTTATTTCTGAAACATAACTGTTCATGTAGGAATGTTGGTTTGATCCAGCAGGGATCTTCTTATATTCTTCTGTTCTTGATATTAAAGGCACATGGGTATTATGTAATCTCATTGACACATTAGATGTGTGTGGCCTGATCTTGAAGGGAATTAGAATCTATGAATGAGTCTCACTGCAGATTATGAAATTTGTGGATGAGATCGGTGAGGACATCATCTGTGAGTCTCTTGGATGCTACCCATTTATAGTTGCAGGAAACATGGTTTAATTGAAATAAAATATGATATCCGGCATAGGACATAGCCCTCTTACTTGTTACTGAACCTTACATAAATACACACACATACTATGTGCAGTTTAGGGTAAAAATGTTTAGTAGAAATGGGAAATGTAAAAAGAAGTACACTATATTATCAGCAGACAGTAACAAATTTGGGTGAGAGAAATACAAGATACAGATGTCAAACAACGATGCTATGTTGTCGCTGTTTGTTTTACTTGTGGGTTGTGGTGGCCTCTGACTATACAGTGTGTATGTACATTGTTGAAAGGGAATAATATGTTGAAAGAATATTATTTCACAAGCAGTGTGGAGAAAGCCATTGGGGAATTTTAATTATTGAGCTCTCTGGAAATACAAGCATTCTGGGAGTTTTGTGGAAACGCAGTGGGATTTAAAGAAGCTATTAAAGTTTCACGCCGCCATAATCCAAGTCCGTACGACAGACATGAGCTAAGAGGTAGGGTTTTGCCAGAGTGGGACAGCGTCAGAGAAAGGACAAAAACACACACTGGGTTGAACCAGGCGACAGCCATTTTATTTATGGTATTCATGAACTTTGCATTGTGCGAGAAGGGATTGTCCAGCATTGGTTACAACCTGCCTGTTAACAATGGAACCGCCAAGATGGCCTTCTGGCTAGTCCAGAAGTCAACAAAGAGCATTAACTGCTCAGGCACTTCCACCTACTTGGAAATACAGTGGTACCATGGTTCCCAAATGCCTTGGCACTCAAACAACTTGGAACTCAAACAGTGCAAACCGGTAAGTGTTCCGGTTAGCAAACTTTTTGGGGAAGCCAAACGTGCTCCGTTTTGAGTGCCGCACTTCCATTTTGAGTGTTACACTGAGGTCTGTCTGTTTTTGCTATTTATTTTGCGTTTTTGTATTTGCTGCTCTTTTGTTTTGTTTTTGTGACTGTGTGGAACCCAGTTCAGCTACTGACTGATTGATTGTGTGACTGCAGTACATTGTTTATTGCTTTCATTTTATGGATCAGTGGTCCCATTAGAGAGTAAAATTCATGTTAAATTGCTGTTTTAGGAAGTTGCTTTTAAAAGTCTGGAATGGATTAATCCATTTAGCATTACATACTATGGCAGGCATAGGCAAACTTGGCCCTCCAGATATTTGGGACTACAAGTCCCATCATCCCTAGCTCCCAGGACCATGGTCAGGGATGATGGGAATTGTCCCAAAACATCTGGAAGACCAAGTTTGCCTATGCGCATTCTATGGGAAAGTGTGCCTTGGTTTTGGAACGCTTTGGTTTTGGAACGGACGTCCAGAATGGATTAAGTTTGAGAACCAAGGTACCACTGTATGGCTGGCCACCAGATTATTGTCATTGTGGCTAATCTATGAGCTGAATGCCCTGCAGTCCCTATGGTATCTATTCAGATCAGGCTGTTATTGATGCTCCAGACACAGACCAGAAAGAAAAGCAGATTCATGAAAATATTTCATGAAGTGTGAAGGTTCCCCACTTACCCCCTGTCTTCATCCCCACCTATGTTTTCTGGCTCCTTGGAGTCAGCACTGGCGACAACCCCTTCAGCTTCTCTGCTTGACCCAGGAACTATCCAACTCAAATTAATATTGGCTGATTCAATAAGAAGACAACAGTGCCAAGCACACAGTTAAAAAAAATATCTAGGTTCCAGAAGGTCAGTCCAGAGATACTGGCAGAGTGAGAGGCAAATGCGATTCTAAAACTTCATAAACAAGAAGAGGAAATCAGACATGAACACTATTGCATTTCTTTAAAACAAATCTTTTGTGTTTGTTGATTACGAACATCACATGGAATATTTCATCTTGTAATTAGGTTATGTGGAAGCATTGGTGATACCTGCAGGGGCAAGAAGAATCAAGGTTGTGGAAGAAAAACCTGCTCACAGTTACTTAGGTGAGTTGTGTTTTGTCCGTAATTGTAATACATACTTGACAAAAAAGATAGAAAACTTTATTCCTTTTTAAAAAATTATTCTCCGTAGATTCAAAACAAAAACTGCGAGTGTGGAATACACCCCAGTTCAAATGTCACGCTGGGGTCATTAAATAGCTTTAGGCAAGTAATTACTTTCCGGATGGGGAACCTGTGGCCTTTCAGATGATTTTGGACTCTTATTAGCCCCAGTCAGCCCCCGGCAAGCTGTGGCACAATAACATATTGTGATCCACAAGGAGGTAGACCTTCCCTCTCCCATGTCCATTTTCTTTATTGAAAACCCAAAATCAAAGCAATTAAATCCAAATGAACAAAGTGCGGGTAAAAGATTTTCAGAAGACAGAAATGTTTAAAAATTAAATCCAAGGTACGAAAGATAAAAACAGCATGTTTTTTTATTGCGCATCCTAAACGGTGGTTCTCAAGCTTACTTTGTTGTTGTCGTTGTCGTTGTTTGCAAGCTGTTATCAGTTTGTTTGACAATTGTAATAATTGATTAAAAAACTATAATCTTAAAAAAAAATTGATACAAGTATCAAAACATACAACTGTGTAAAATCAATAGGCCCCCCCCCCATAAACAGAGGGTTCTGAATTGCTTTTGTAAAATGTGGAAACAATGAGGACTCCGCGGGGCCTGCTGTCTCTTACAATCTATCAAAGGATCAATTCTATTTTGGAAGAGAAAAATTGCTAGTCAGAGTCCAAGCTTCAGGTTTAGTTGTAAGTGCTAACGCAATAGGTACAACTGACAGCAACTGAAAGCACATTTTAGAAAATAGCCAGATTTAGGAGTATTAAGGGTTGTCATGCTCAACTGATATTTGCTTATGCCTTGTGGAACTATTTAGAGGAATCTAAATTTGCCAAAGTGGTAGACTGAAAACTGAAAGGTGATACGAGGCAGTTACTCCTTTTTTAGTCACGAAAGCTACAAATCTGTGGATCATTACTTAGGCACAAGCCCCCTTGAAACCAGCAGAGCTTTCTTGCAAATAAGTATGCACGGAGTCAATTTGCAAGTCTAATAACCGGGATTAAAATGATACTTTCTGTGGTGGTTAGAATTATTAAAAGCGGGCGCACATTATATTCTCTTTAACATAAAAAAATTGAATGAGTGTAGTCCTGTATTTAGCCCATTTTGCACATGCTCTCTCTCTCTCTCTCTCTCTCTCTCACACACACACACACACACACACACACACAGGAACTGATGCTAATTAGAGGCTGGATTTCTAAGGATTTGGAAATCCAGTTTGGGGTGACCCTGGACCTCTTTTCAAGCTTGAATGCCCAGGTAGGAATAGTGGCCAAGAGCATTTTCACATACCTGAGGTTGCTGCATTAACAACTTGTTGTTTTTAACTTGTATAAAACGCCTTAAAATCCTTGGTTATTTGGTGACCCAGAAATGCTGTAAATAAAATAAACTGCATCCATTCCTTGGAATGTCAGATCTGGTCATAATAACATACACCTTAGTTACATCTTGAATGGATTACTCTTATGTGCTGTCTGTGGGACCGCCTTGAAAGGTGTTCCGAAACTTGAGCTGGTCCAGAACGCCGCAGCCAGACTGTTGACCTGGACTAGTTATCAAGAGCATGTGACTTCTCTGTTACAAGAGAAGTGCTGGCTGCCAACTGGGCTTAATTGAAAATGTCGGTTCATAAAGCCCCAAATTAGTGGAGATCAGATTGTGACATAAACCTGAGGTTTGAAGATTTTCAAGAGAGCTCCTCTACTAGCCAGCCAACAGAATTTTCTGGACTGGGTGTGCTTTATATGGATGGAACCCCTCACTCCTCCCAGTAAAACTATTGACAAGGACTTGCCCAGGCAAAAGGATGTCCCTGAAAAATGCAATGCCAATTCTTTCACCCTTTTCCTGCTGCAAGCCAGTTCTGATCATCCGCTGCACAGAATGCAGGCGAATTAATGTCTCCAAATTGCCTTTAAACTATTCCTCTAAAATGAATAGCAAGATTACCCCGATAAATGAGGGGCACTCGCTTTGGCTGCTGCTTTTCTGCTTTTCCCAGTTGTGGTTGCACCCGTAGCTTCAGAGAATGGATTATTGCACAGCGAAGCAGCAGAAAGAGATATAGACAACGGCTTGTCCGGAGCAGAGAATGCTGCAGCAGTGCCTGCCACGAGCAACTTTTCAGGACCTTTGGGAGCACAATGACATTTGGAACAGTTGCTATGCAGTAATTTAACTAGGGACAGTGGTACAATGTGCAACAGAGCCATTTTATAAACATTAAAATTCTGCTGCTGCTGCCAAAATATTTCTGTGGGGAGAAGCATTGAGGGCCGCAGAAAAAAATCTCCAGGGCTCTTATATGGGCCATGTTTTAGCTCCACCCCTAAGTCAGTAAAATAACCACTTTGATAAAACAGTTTGGTAACCCTGTTTATAGGGCAGGACCATAGCTCAGCAGTGAGACCTATCCGGCAGGGACACAAGATAGGTGACTGCTCCTAAGCTTTGCAACTGCCTCCTCAGGCAGAGCAGATTTAGTCACCCCGCTGCTAGTCTAGCAGCACAGAAAACCCCTGTTTAGATGTATTTTTCGCCTGTTGAGGCACTATGTCCGTGGTGTTTTGAGCTTTTTTGTTAGCTGCTGCTTTCATACTGTAATTTTTATCTGGCCTTTATGTGTAGCTGTTTTTGCTGATAGGTTTTATTTTGTAATTGTGCACTTTTGCTACTTAATTGCAGAAAGGTGCTGTAGAGACTTACTAAACAAAAAGGTTTTTTTGCAGTTGGTCCACATATGAGACACACACCAATTGCCAGTGGCTCTGACGCCACTGAGAGGCAATTAGTCCATGCAGCCAGTGACTCTAAGCTCATAAGTCTCGATTTATTTTCACTCCACAAGGTAGTACCTTAGAAAAGGTTGGTAGGTTTTTAAACAAGTAAAGCATGACTTTCTCCAGCCTTCCTCAACTTGAGTCCTTAGAGATATTTTGGACTGCGACTCCCAACAACCATGGCCAGCAATCAGGAATGATGGAAAATTGAAGTCCAAAACATCTCAAGATCACCAGGTAGGGGGAACTTGCCTTGATGCAGCTGAATTGCATGATGATGGCTTCCAGGATAAAATCAGCTAAGCAGGTACAAAAAGATGGGAAATATATAAATAGTTTTTAAACTGCTCACAGAAAGGCAGTAGTTTCCCCCTCCCTTTCAAAACAGACATACCATATTTTTCGCTCTATAAGACGCACCTAGTTTTTGGAGGAGGAAAACAAGAAAAAAAATATTCTGAATCTCAGAACAGCAAGAGGGATCGCTGTGCAGTGAAAGCAGCAATCCCTCTTGCTGTTCTGGCTTCTGGGATAGGTGCGCAGCCTGCATTCGCTCCATAAGATGCACACACATTTCCCCTTTTTAGGAGGGAAAAAGTGAGTCATATAGAGCAAAAAATTGGTAGGTAGCCGTGTTGGTCTGCCGTAGTCAAAACAAAATAAAAAAATTCCTTCCAGTAGCACCTTAGAGACCAACTAAGTTTGTTATTGGTATGAGCTTTCATGTGCATGCAGGTATCTGAAGAAGTATGCATGCACACGAAAGCTCATACCAATAACAAACTTAGCTAGACTTGGCGACAGTGTCCCAATACAGATTGCAAGGCCAGCTAGAATTTTATCTTTCACATAACTGTGTGTAGATTGCTTTGGTTTGATCACATCCAAAAAAATATTCGCCCCCTGGAGTTGAAAAGAATTTGCTTTGACCGTTTTAAAACTGAGGTGTCCCCTTTACAACTTTGTGGGTGTAATGCACATGCCCCTTTTCTTCTTCAAAACCAGAGCATACCCTTAGCAGGCCTCGTTATGCAATTTACGAACTGAAGGGCATGGGAAGATTTTGAGTTGCATCGCCCATTTCCCTGACATGAAGCTGTTTGCATATATGACCCACCTGTACAAATTGTGAAGGCTTTGAATGTGGGCACTGTTTATGTCAAGATAGTATTGGCTTGTCTGCTGTGAGGGAATGAACTTGGCACTGTATAATTCAAGGGTTCGGGTCTATGTGATTTTTGTGTATATACGGAATCCTTGGAGCTGAATACCCACATAAGGTGCAACTGTCCTGTATCTGATAGGCTAGCTACACTTCCTAAAATATCAGCATTTTGTGCTTTGGGGCTTCATTTGGTAATTGTTCAGAAACAAGATGGCTGTGAAACAACCATATTGCTGTACTCCTGTACCAAAGATGTCTGCCCATTGGGTGGAGAAGAATCTACTTTTAATTCAGTGGTTAGTTAGAAGACTTTAAAATGTCGAGATATTACATCAGAAAAAGAAACCTCTTAGAACTGTAACATTACTGGATGCTGCAAGGATGTTTTAGGAATTTTGTGCTATTTGGATTCATTGTACTGTGCCTTAGTGGCATGCGTGATTGTTGGATAATGTAGTTGTATTGCCGCCAGTTGATGGTGCTATTGCCATTGTTTCCCATAGAAACATAACAAAACAGTACAAATATGGATAGGACGGCAGTTGATTGCCAGGAATGACTCACGTTAACATACAACTTTATGAAGAGATTTGGGCAAGGACTGAGCAGTTAAGGCACTTTCACATCACGAATGCCAAGCATGGAATTTCAGTGAGAAAGAATGTTTAGGGCAGTCTTGTCCAGAGGATGACATCAAGCCATCAAGTCAAACTTCACATATCTGATTAAGGGGCCTGAGGCATTAAAGATTCACATTACACAGAGAGAGAGAGAAATTGAAGAATTATATATCAGCAATGACAAAGTTGCGTATCCCTCAGTTCCTTGAAGTGTATCTGAGTTGACCTCATTAAATGCTTTTGGGGATTGATTGGGCCTGGGAGAGGAAAGAGTCGGCCAAAAAAAGTTATTCCTGGCAGGAAAGATCAAATTAATGTCTATTTGCAAAAGCCACAGTTAAAAATGTCTAGAAATGTAAGTGCTAACATTTAGCACTTCGCAAGAATAGATGAGGTATTTGCACACGTACTAACCACACCAACTTAGAAACAAATGAGCGCCATCATCAAAAAGGTTCTTAAGAGCTTCGTGAGCTTTCAAATCCTGCAGGTTATTTATCAAGCTCATCATGTTGATGGCTGGAAGGCTGGATGTACTGCTTTGAGCACAAAGGTGATGGAAAACAGACCATGTTAATTGGGATAATTGCTATTTTCCCAAGATATATGGGTGGAAATGGCCATGGAACAAGTTTAATAGTTCTAGTTTTTTCTTCAACATATCTAGTGGGACAGAACAACTTCCACCAAGTATAGGATTTTGTTTCTGACAGCAGCTATCCACCTGTCTCTGGGAGGCTGACATCAGAGCACAACTATCCCCAGTCTCATAATAATCATTTCCTGTTGCTTGTCCTTTGCTTCTGGGTACATTACTCTGATGCATTCGTGACCTTTGTGGCACAGAGCACCCACCAGCTTTGTTCCTATGCTCCAATAATACTGAGGTTAGATTACTGCAGTTCATTGCCCATGGGGCTGCTCTTGAAGACTGTCCAGAAATTAAAGCTAGTGCAAAATTTGTCAACCAGCCTCATAACAAGGATCCTGTAATCCAGATATATAACACTTATTCTGGCCTGGGTGTGCTGCTTCTGATACATTTCCAGGTGCAATTCAAAGGGCTGGTTTTGCTCTGTAAATATTTACATAGCTTGGGACCCCTGCACTTTACATTTGAACCTGCCTGGCCTGTTAGGTCATCTCCTGTTACTATAAGAGAGAGGACCTTTTCAGTAGTAACCCCCTTCTATAGCATTCCTCTCCAAGGAGGTTTTCGGGGGCAAAATTGTTATTCTTTCAGCGCTGGACCAAGAATTTCTTCTACTCCTAGGCATTTAATTGTTAACTTGATGGTTTTTTTTAGTTTGACATCCAAATGGTGATCATATTGATGAAGTTGGGGAAGGAAATGGTGAATTGTTGGGAATTAGATGATAAGCTACCCGAACTCCAAATTCATTTTTTGTTCTTTATTAGCCACAAAGGTCTCAAGGTAACTTGCAACAAATACAAAGAGTAAAATATAGAAAAGTAATAAGAACTAATCACGAGCTATGAATTTATCTAATCTATATAATGTTGGATTTATGAAAGTGAACCTTCTAACATCACTTGACAGAGCTGGTATACGGTGTTCACAAACATTCCAACAGCTCAGGGAACCAAGTTTCCAGACAGCTTCCAGCTCAACGTCTGGGAAGGAAGAAAAAGTTGTCAGTTTGCCTGGGACTGATACCTCACACATGTCCTTGGGACAAGAGTAGCTTTGTGGGGCAGGCTGAAGTCCAAGGAGCTAGGGAAGCAAAGGGCCACTGTGCTTGGCCAAAATGAGCAGAGCAGGCCATGGACTAAGAATCAGAAAACTGATGGATGAGTCAGTGGAATGGAAAGAGCTTGAGGGGAAAAGACAAAGAAGTCGGAGAGTTTACAAAAGGAAAATCTAAAGAGCAAGGAAGGAATTGGACAGCCAAAGGAGACAGGCTTGGAACTCTAAGCCAGGGAATTTCATGTGGCTGTGATATCAAGACAGCTTGATAAAGTTATTTTAACTTATGGGAGTTGCATTGAAGGGAAATTATGTTACTCGTGGAGGACAGAAAACAACTGACTTGAGAGGAGAACAAGGACTACCACCATTATGTCCACCCCACCTGCCATCGAGTGTGATCTGTTCAACCACCACCACCATTGACCCTCTCATACCTCTCATGCTCCACCTTCTTTTCCTAGCCTGATGGCCCAGATGACCACCACAGCTGTAGAGATAACCGTGAGCCCTTCTGTGGGGCATACTCTGGGGCATGCTATTGAAAGATGATCTGGGAGCTCTGGGTTTGCAAAGGCCTCACAGCACAGATTGCAAGTTTGTGATTGGCTTAGCCTAAAAAGCTCTTTCCCTTGATGGAAAGATGTATTAATTGTAGCTTCTGTTGGAGTTTTGTGACCTGATAAGTTTTGCGGTAAGAAGATAATGAGGTGCAGGATGAGGTGAATGCGGGGAAACTGAGGGTTGTAGCCAACTAACTACTACTCAAAGTAGACCCACTGAAATTAATGGGCATGACTAATTTGGGTTCATTAATGTTAATGGCTTTGCTCTTAGTAGAATACAACCCTGAGTTTTATCATAGATTGGAAGAAATAAGCCAACCTTATGCTTCTTAAGGTTCCCCCCCCCAAAGCCATCTAAGCTACTTGCCATCACCACATCTTTTTTAAGTTAGTAATTTCAAAGCTCTATTGCTCAATAGCTTGTGTTCAAAGCACATTTTAAGATCCAGCTACGTTGGCACAGGAAGTTCACAGAGTGCAGTAATGAGATTCTATTGCATCTTCTTAGCTGCTGTTGTAATTAATTTTAAAATACCATGTTCTGGTGCATTCATGTAACACAAAGAATGAATCCACAATGTATAGTTTGTACTATCCATATTGCATGATGGTGAACTAAATCCTGCAGCCCTTTATCTCAACCACTCACTATTTTATTGAACCCTGTCCTAAATATGGAAAGAATTTAGACAAATCTAAATATATGGCTTTTATCATTTATCCCAACTGGGAAACAGATAAAATGTTTTCTTGCTGAGATTTCTTTATTATGCTTATTATTCATAAATAGCTTTGTAACTGAACCAGCGTAGAAAAAAAAATATTCTCATAGAACAACTGGAAAATGAGCCATTTTCTTCTATACTGTTTTCCAATGTTATCTACAGCTCTTCGAGATGCCGGTAAACAGTCTATTAATAGTGACTGGAAGATAGAACATTCTGGAACATTCAACATTGCTGGTACCACGGTTCATTACGTTAGGAGAGGTCTGTGGGAAAAAATCTCGGCCAAAGGTCCAACCACATCACCTTTGCATTTATTGGTATGGATGACCATTTAAAAACTATTTTATGCTATAGTAAATCCTAATATACTAGGGATTGATGGATAAGTCTATTTCTGGTCCATATGGATTTCACTTGTATTCATTGGTTAGTCTGTTCCACCCCGTTTCTGAGTTAATCGGCAATGGTGATGATGATTTTAAAATCTGTATGAAAATTCGTATTTGACAGTTGTATTCCAGTGTGTGCATTTCTAAATGAATTTAATGCTAAAGTGTTCAGTTTTTACACATTTTAGTACATTTCTGAGCTGAGAACAGTACCACAAAATTCAGAGAAATGTTAAATTCAGGGAATAATTATGTAGATTAGGCTGGTTTACTTAAAAATGAAGACCAAACAAAATTCCCTTCCACCCCTGGCAGGCAAACACTCACATTTTTTGCAGCAAAGTATGGCAATAATCTCTTCAAATGGAGAGATTTGTCAAAGACATACGTATCTATAGTCAGTGTGGGGATTTCTACATAACCTGGACCATTAACTGGAGAATAAACAAGCTGATATCAATTCAAAATTGCTAGCACAAAGGAGCTGGATCGTTTAGGGACACATTATGGATTATAAAACGTTTCCTTCACAACTGCAGATATGTTCAAACCCTGGCAGTGGATAAAAGCTGTTTCTATCTAGTTGTGCTCAAAGAATTTGCAGAACACATTTGCAAAGAACTATTTCCTCTTGAATAATTCTTCCTTAAATTTTGCTGGAGGGAGCTGATCTTTGCAAGTAATTGTCCTCCCTTTCAGTGAAAGTGAGGTCCTCCCCCCCCCCCCGAGATGTTTGTGCAAAGGGGGATGAGAAAATGAAAAGTGAAGTTTCTGTTATGGTAATAATCACTGGCAAAACTGGAAGTAGCTTTCCTTGTAACAACACAGTGTTGACCAGTATTTGGGTCTAGAAAGAGTGTGTAGTCATGAAGCGAAATTATTCTGTGATTCAAATTTATGATGAAAAATGTATTTCTAAAAATAGAAGCTTACTTGAAGTTTTAAGTCCTTGGGGCAGGAGTTAGCACAATACACTTACGCTATATTATTGCAGTTTTTAAATGACTATTGCAGATAGAATCACTATGACTAAAGTTCTCCTGACATCTTAATGCTGGGTGATCTCCAGTGTTAGTCACACTCAGAGTAGACACATTGAAATCAGTGGATGTATGTCTCTTGATTTCAGTAAGTCTGCTCTTTAGTATGGCTTAGCTGGATATTGCCCACTTTTTGCAAATGCTTACTTTGCTAACAAAGTCGTGTCAGCTTGCTTTTGAGTTGTTGGTTTTAACAGTGGATGGTGAGTATATGCAGATAAAGCTCTGTCTTCTCCCGGAAAATTCTGTTGATGACCATGGAAATTATTAAAGGGAAATATCCCTTGATCTTAGTCACTGCCTCCTGTTACAGTGATGATGATGGTGAATATCCCGCCCATCTGGCTGGGTTTCCCCAGCCACTCTGGGCGGCTTCCAACAAAATATAAAATACGATAATCTATTAAACATTAAAAGCTTCCCTAAACAGGGCTGCCTTCAGATGTCTTCTAAAACTCAGGTGTTTATTTCCTTGACATCTGATAGGAGGGTGTTCCACAGGGCGGGCGCCACTACCAAGAAGGCCCTCTGTCTGGTTCCCTGTAACCTCACTTCCCGCAGTGAGGGAACCGCCAGAAGGCCCTCAGAGCTGGACCTCCATGTCTGGGCTGAACGTTGGGGGTGGAGAAGTTCCTTCAGGTATACTGGACCGAGGCCGTTTAGGGCTCTAAAGGTCAGCACCAACACTTTGAATCAGGCTGATAACTATTACTTACATGAAATGTTCTGTAAAAATAGCCCTTTTCAGAGGTTGCCTGTATCTACAGGCAAAATTTAGCACTGCATGTATAAACCCTCTGATTTTCCCTATGAGAGTTGCCTCAAATGACTTCTGTGAATGTCAGAATGTCTGTCAGATGCAAGCCAGTGCTGCATTTCTTCATATTAACAGATGAAGCCACCTTGTACTGATTCAGACCAGGGATCTGTCTATCCCAGTACTGTTGGTTGTCGCTGCCAATCGATCTGAAGAGCATCAGGAGAAGGATCTCTTAAGCTGACCGTGATAGGGGATTGAACGTGGAAAAGATGCGTGCAAAGGATTTGCTCTGCCACAGAGCTTTACCTCTTTCCCCTCAAATGTAGAAATATCACCGTTCTCCAATGTGATATTGAGACACCCCAATTTTTTATTCTGTATATTGCAGGTTCTGCTCTTTCAAGATCAGAATTATGGGCTACACTATGAATACACCATTCCTTTGGACCCTCTGCCTGAGAATCAGAGCGCCAAAGGGTCGGAGCCTCTTTTTATGTGGACACACTCGGGCTGGGAGGACTGCGATGCCGTATGCGGAGGAGGTAATGATTCTCTAAAATCTGTGGTAGAAGCAAAACATTTGGTGGGTTGTGTGAAGATACGGTGTTGGTGCTGCTGTGCTAGGGCTGCCATTATTGCCATTCGGACAATATCGCGTCCTGGAAAGTTAAAAATATTTTGCTTTTCTTATTGATTTCTCTTTCTTTTCTTTTCTTTTTATAAAAAATGTTACATGATACAGGCAGATTTGTTTACTTAGAAATATATTTTTGGAGGGTGTTTTTTAAACTTCGCAAAACTGCCAGTTATTGACCTAAAATTCTAGTTGAGATCCATCATCTCTAAAACATGCATGGAGCTTAATGGATAAGCATTTGACACTCATTTCTAGGATACAGAATGCTTTTCGTGTGTACAGGTAAATGTACAGGTCGCCCCCCCCCAATGGAACACTATGCCCAAACCATGGATTAACCCATGCTTTCTGAAGAGAGATTGCAGCTGTTTTGTTCTTCCCAAGGCATTTTAGGCATTTCAGCATGGCACAACAGCTAAAGTCAAGGTTTGGCTTAAAGTGCCATCCATGTCATTCATTGTGATAACACACACCTCATTCCCTGTGCCCAGCAGGTCTTTTGGGTTGTGTTTCTCAGAGGACAGTGTCTCATTCTGCACGACAGGTGCAGTTTTGAAACTGAAGGGGTGGCCAAAAGCAATTTCTGATATGGCAAGAGAACCTGCTGTTCAAAAGAAGAAGTGCAGGAAGTGGTTCTTTGGCCAGCGTTTTTAATCAAAGCAGCTGCCTGAGAGACCATATTTTAAAAGAAAAGTGTCAGAGTTTGTCCTGTCCTAAGGTAACAAGAATCTTCAGAATCCCAAGTCGCCTCTTCTTCTTAGAGACTTGCTAGAGGGACCCTTACTTGCAAAATCTGATTACCAAATAGGCCCCACGCCTTTTCGGGACCCCGCAACAACATCAAAATAATATTGATTTGATCTTGAAAGAAAATTACAATCCTTTCCATCGCCACTTCCTTCTTCCAGCTGGGACCTGCTCCTAACTCAGCCACACACCAACCTGCTTCAAGGATTGGGCAGGCCAGGGGGCTGCACAGAGCCCACCCACCTCTCCCTGTGCAAAGCTTTCCTTTCGTTCCAAAAACGTCCCTTTTGTGTCTTACCAGGAGAAAGAAAGACAACAGTATCCTGCACAAAGATCATGAATAAGAATATCAGTTTTGTGGACAGCAAGAAATGCAAATACTTAACGAAACCTGAGCCTCAGCTCCGAAGGTGCAATGAGCAGCCATGCCAGACAAGGTGATAGTGAGTCATTATTTAACGAATGTTTTAGTTGATGCTTATGCTCAGAAAGCGCCCGTTTCTCAGCCGGTGGGTGTCCCAGCTGAAATGAAAGAATGCCCCAAGGCATCTGCAATAACTCAAAAGATATCTGAGCTTATCTTCTCCTTTGGCTGGCTCTAATGCCTGGCATATCACCCGCACATCCAGCCTACCAAGCAATTCTGTGTGGGTCCTGAAGCCCTCCTCCCCGGGCAATGATTTCTGATTTCTTCTTCCTGTTTGCACTCCAAGACCTTCAACAATGGCATCAAACCAGAGGAACTGGCAGAGGAAGGCAGGTGCGGGGGGTGCGGTCGCCCCGGGTGTCATCTGTGAGGGGGGGTGACATCGCCAGATGCTCGCCATGTAGGCAGCAGACCGCTAATGACGCTATCACTGTGGGCGACTAGTGGTGCCCCCCGGATGCTCCCAATGGGCAGCTAGTTGTGCCCCACTGATGCTGGTTGTGCGGGCGACAGGTGGCTAGGGATGCTTGCCGTGCGGGCGACTTGTCCCACGGGCCGGATAGCCCCGCCCTGCGTCACTCCAGGAGCTGGGGCAGATAGCTCTGCCACTGACCAGAGGGAGAAGGGTTCCTTTTGCAAAGGTAAAAAGAGCCTTTGTTTTGCTCCCCATCCTACACCAGTGCTACCCAGCAGGCAAAAATGCTGCTGAGTTCATGTGTGTGTTTGTGCAGGTTGCTGAGTTTGTACTTCCTCTCCGTGTGCTCCCAATGCCACCAACTGTGCTCTTCCAGAGAGTTCCCAGACCTTTCAGAGCAGTATTTCAAGGGATACAATGAGTTGCAGGGAAGAGGAAGAATCTGCAAAGATCGTCTCCCACCCCCTGCATCCAGTCAGAGCCTCTGCTTCACCTGTGTCTTGCTCAAAAGGAGCCCTTTGTTTGCAGAAGAGTATTCTCGAATCAACCTTTTGGTTCTTAGTTGCTGTAAACAGCATTGGATAAAAGCATGGAATAGCAGAAAGAAGGCTGTAATTTGAAAGTTAAGACGCCGTTGCCTCAAAATTGAGGGCCGATGACCCTCAAAAAGCAATCGTGTTGCATTTATCACAGAGGTCAATTTAAAATGTGTCTTAAACCTCACGGGAAAATATTTCGAGGAGTAATCGTGCTTTGACCTGCATTTACAGATGGATGATGACAGAGTGGACTCCATGCTCAAGGACGTGTGGGAAGGGGACGCAGAACAGACAAGTCGCCTGCACTCAGCAGCTCCGAAATGGGACTTTGATCAGAGCCCGCGAGAGAGACTGTCTTGGCCCCAAACCTCCTTCGGCGCAGCGCTGTGAAGGCCAGGACTGCATGACGGTGTGGGAGGCTGGCGTATGGTCCGAGGTGAGGTATATGCATTGTTTTTCTATGCATTTATTTTCTGTTCATTTGTATTACCTACATTCGGGGAGAACACAAAAGTTGAGTTTGTGATTTATCGGTGAACGCTGCAGAATTTTGCATATGAGAACGAATTAACTCCTTATGTCTAATTTGGGCCAGTTATGAATATATATTTCTCTCACATAGCACGTGCTGTGCCCAGTGCTATTTTTGTACAAAACCAGGAACGCCTCCCTTGTTCTCTTAGAATGGCAATGGCTCCCACCTGAAAGGTGCCGAAACTGAGTTCTGGCAAGTTCCAGCTGAAAAAGTGTCCTGGCTGTACCAATTACAGCAAAGAACAGATATATCACATCAACAGTGTCCATTTTCAAGCAAACTGGTCCCCTAAATAGATGAGGCTAGCTAGCCCCATATCCCCCCTCCAAACTTTGGCACTGTAAAGTTGGGCTCAAGGGCAAATAGGAACATTTCATATTAACTGCATTTATTGTCTGAATCCTTCCACAATGTTTTCTTGTATCTGCGCTTTGCCCATTCAATTTCATTTTAATGATTGCATTTATTAGGCAGAAGAAAGAGAGATCTATAGATCTCTGTAGAGACGCAGGTGGCGCTGTGGTGTAAACCACTGAGCCTAGGGCTTGCCGATCGGAAGGTCGGCGGTTCGAATCCCTGCAGCGGGGTGAGCTCCCGTTGCTCTCTCCCAGCTCCTGCCAACCTAGCAGTTCAAAAGCACGTCAAAGTGCAAGTAGATAAATAGGTACCGCTCCGGCAGGAAGGTGGTAGGGACGCGGGTGGCGCTGTGGGTTAAAGCCTCAAGGCCCTAGGACTTGCCGATCGAAAGGTCAGCGGTTCGAATCCCCATGGCGGGGTGCGCTCCCGTTGCTCGGTCCCAGCGCCTGCCAACCTAGCAGTTCGAAAGCACCCCCGGGTGCAAGTAGATAAATAGGGACCGCTCCGGCAGGAAGGTGGTAGGGACGCGGGTGGCGCTGTGGGTAAAAGCCTCAGTGCCTAGGGCTTGCCGATCAAAAGGTCGGCGGTTCGAATCCCCGCGGCGGGGTGCGCTCCCGCTGCTCGGTCCCAGCGCCTGCCAACCTAGCAGTTCGAAAGCACCCCCGGGTGCAAGTAGATAAATAGGGACCGCTTACTAGCGGGAAGGTAAACGGCGTTCCGTGTGCTGCGCTGGCTCGCCAGATGCAGCTTGTCACGCTGGCCACGTGACCCGGAAGTGTCTGCGGACAGCGCTGGCCCCCGGCCTATAGAGTGAGATGGGCGCACAACCCTAGAGTCTGGCAAGACTGGCCCATACGGGCAGGGGTACCTTTACCTTTACCGGCAGGAAGGTAAACGGCGTTTCTGTGCACTGCTCTGGTTTCTCCAGAAGCAGCTTAGTCATGCTGGCCACATGACCCGGAAATACTGTCTGCGAACAAACGTTGGCTCCCTCAGCCAGTAAAGCGAGATGAGCGCCACAACCCCAGAGTCGTTCACAACTGGACTTAACCGTCAGGGGTCCTTTACCTTTTTATAGATCTCTGTGCAGAATGCCATAATGTGTATTTTGTGTGTGCATCATTTTAAACACCTTTCTACAGTGCTCTGTAAAATGTGGAAAGGGAGTACGCCATCGGACCGTAAGGTGCACCAACCCTCGGAAGAAGTGTGTCTTGTCTACGAGGCCTAGAGAAGCAGAAGACTGTGAAGACTATTCCAAATGCTACGTCTGGAGAATGGGAGACTGGTCCAAGGTACAACATGCTTTGTACTAGCACTACGATGTTATATTTACTAGCCATTGTCAAATATGCTACAGTACTTCTCCAATGAAAGACAAGACCAGTGCAGACTGAACAGAACAATGTGGTAAAGTTGTCACAAGGCAGATAATAGATTGGGGGTGGCAAACCTGTGGCCTTTCAGATATTGTCAAACTCCAATTTCCCATCTGGCCCAGCCCCCCCCCAAATCCCCTCTCCCTCTGGCAGTGTTTTAACTGTGACCTTATAGCCCCCCAAAGTCCAGGGTTAGATCCCGAAATTCACTAAGTCTTCCTGACAGACTTCTGAGCTCATCTGCAGCACTGTAAGAAATAGAAACCTGTTGTTATTTAAAGAATGCCAGTTTGCACCGCATGTCTTTTTCTATATGCTCTTTTCTAGAATCTTTCTTTGTTTCACTGCTCTTTTATATGTAAAGATTTGCCCTTTTGAAAGTGAGTGAAATTAGGAATTCCCAGACATAGCCGGAATACTGCAGTGTCTGGGTGGATACGGCTAAAATGTCCGGGGAAATCCAGATTTCCCCTTTTTGAAATATGGCAACCCTAGTGAAATCTCCTTGCAGATCACATAACAATTTAAACTGGGGGCGGCTGTGTGTGTCATTTGCAGGTTTTTAACCAGGGGCATTTTATAGTCACCTTTGCAGTTACACTGCTGTCATTTGTGAACTTGATTAAAGCAAGTGTCTTGTGCGGCTGTAAGGGAAATGAGCAGATCTGTGTGGATATCCAGCTGAATTGTGTATTGCGCAGTTGAGATTTTCAAAGGTTTATATCAAAGCAGTATGCATTTTAAATTTCTCAGCAGAGGAATGAGTTCAGCTTTGACTGCACTCATGTTTCCTGTCTTTTTCTCTCCGTGACTAAACTATCCCACCCTCAGACTAGTGCATAGCAACATGATGGTGCAGCTTACATGGTAATATAGCTTCAATTAGAAAAAGAAATTGAAGAGCCATATCATTGCTCACTGCTGATTGTCTGTAATACAGAATAATTAGTGCAGCCTTCTATCACCCTCGGTTTTGCTGGTTTTGCTCCTTGGGATTTTTTCCGCTGGACATTGATCGGAAGCTGTTCTTTTGAGAACTGCCAAGTTCTTGTCAAACGGGTGCCAAAATGTAGCTTGAGAAACGCAAATGTCACATGTTGCGACAGGAAGCTTAATCGGATACCATTTGGCTTTCTGTTTAGGGTTTAGCATCCCTTTAACTTTGAACTTAGAGGATTGGTAAAATAAACGACAATGTGAAAAGTAGAGCATAAGACAGTTATTACCAAAGCAAAGATATAAAAAATGGATTTTAAAATGTTTCAGAAAAATAAAAGATTATGGGTTTCTATTGTTCAGCATTTCAGCAGAACAGAAGCCAGATAAAAGGGATGCTAAACTTGTTCCACAAGCTCAATGTATCGTGTCAGGTTCTCTGAAACTTTAGCGTGATATACCCAGGTCTTTAATAGATGCTAGCAGCAAACAAAGTGGCTCTAAGCGGTAAAGTGCTGGCAACTAACGTCAGTCTGTGTTGTGTGCCTGTCATGGTGATGGCAGTGTGGGATCCAGGGAAAAGCAAAGCAAGCTTTTTTAATTGTCCTGGGTCAGCATTCATTGTGGCAAGTGGCCCTCAGTGGGGTACAATTTGCACACAATTCAATGTATAAACTGGATTTTCTTAGGCAAAAGGAGCTTAGTGGTGGAAAGAACTGGAAGGAGCTCAGAGTTAGGATGCTTTTCATACTCATGAGGACAAGTATTGGAGGGCTTTTTAAAATAGAAATAAAAATGGGCATAGCAGTGTAAGCTGCGTCGACTGGCACCATCATGGAGTTCATCAATATTCAGTTAAGAGGCTATGCAGAGAGACTAGGAGGCTGGAGGCACTGTGGCCCTCTGTGCTTATGTTGACCCTGCCATAATGTTTTATTTCCCCTTGTCCCTAGGGCTAGAGGAGAACTGCAGTTTGGTTAGGATTTTAATGTGCACCTGCCTAATTTTCATTTTCCGAAACCCAGCTTTCCTTTTAAATTTGCACTTTTCCGACTTTCGCGATCCAGTTGGGCAGCCAAATAATGTGAACGAAAATGTGTTTGGCGGCAGAAAGTGTACAGCAAAATGCATATATTAGGGAAAATAACATAAACCATGCATTATATCCGGTGAAAATCCTTGCAGAAATGTGTATATAAGGCCAAAAAAGTTACATAGTGTACAGTGGTACCTCGCATGACGAATGCCTCGCAAGACGGAAAACTCGCAAGACGAAAGGGTTTTTGGTTTTTTGAGTTGCTTCGCAAGACGATTTTCCCTATGGGCTTGCTTCGCAAGACGGAAACGTCTTGCAAGTTTGTTTCCTTTTTCTTAAAACCGTTAATACAGTTGCGACTTGACTTCGAGGAGCAACTCATAGAACGCGGTGTGGTAGCCTTTTTTGAGGTTTTTGAAGACTTTGGTGATTTTTGAAGCTTTTCCAAAACTTTTCCGAAACCGTGCTTTGCAAGACGAAAAAATCGCAAGACGAAAAAACTCGCGGAACGAATTAATTTCGTCTTGCGAGGCACCACTGTATGGGGGGTGGGATGTGCACTAAAATTCTAATGGAGTTTTCGTCATGAAGGCTTTTTGTTTTGTTTTATAATTGCAAACTGATGGAGAGGGGGGAAATGAGATACAGAGAGAAAAGGAAATGGATAGGTTCATCCAGCCTGCCTACCTATTGCAGCTGTATGTAACAGATCTCCATGTGCAACTAGCAAGGGTTGAAAATATGGTGGCAGTAGCAGTGAGGAGATCCAGTTACCGATCTTGATATGTGAATAGTTTTAGCGATTCGTATCCAAGACTCAAACTGTTACTCTTTCATCTCCCTTTGTAGCATACAGGTAATGAGTAGCAGAAGGAATTGTTCTTAGAACCCGAAAGCTGACACAGTAGATTGCACTTGGGGAGGAAATCAATCTTTTAGTCTAGTAGCACCCTTGCTCTGGGACTTCCTTCCTATTAAAATCAGGCAGGCATTTACGTTCTGCTGCTCTCAATGCCTTCCAAACTCTTACTTGTTTCCGCATGCCAACTCAGGTGGTAATTTTGTTATTACATGCTTGCTTTTATATCATGTTGATTCCCCCCCCACTATGTTTATTATGTCTACTTGTTTTTTTCAAGTTTGTTGACTTCATCAGAATTTTTTGATAAGCAGTGATTGAAACTCCCATTGTACTAGGGGCATTTTGCGACAGGGAATTTCATTAGCGCGAGCCGTTTCTGAGCTCTGGACGCCTATAGTGTGCCTATGATTTCAGATTAAAACTGCCACTGCTGGATGGAAAGGAGTGTCAAGAGGTCATCCTACTCTCGAGTAGGACCCTGGCAGAGACACATGCCCAACTGGCATGTTCCCTCCCGCCTGGTCGATCATTCAGGAGCTTCAAAAGCTTTCTTCAGCCGAAACATCACAGCGACTGTTGCCAACAGTTGCCAACTGTTGCCAACTGTTGCCAACAGACATCGGCACACTTAGGGATCCGCAGAGTCTTCGCAGTTGCATAACAGACATCAGCAACTCAGCATTTTGGCTAATCTACTTTATTTACATATAAACACACACGGAGCACTGCAACGGCTCCATCTCTCTCTCATCATCAGACAGCAAAGAGAAAGGACAATAGTCCCACTTCACGGAACACAGTAACACAAACATCCTGTTTCCATCACTTCCCCCTCTGTGGAGTCAAAACATATACCGTCATGTGATAGGCAACAATCCCATGACTGCAATCATGGAGCAGGAATTCTAACAAGGAGGACCTTTTTCTACCTCCCCACTTCCAGGTACTCTCTGCAAACTGGAGAAGAGACCCTCTGAAGAATATTAGGGGGATGGGCAGCGGAAGGACTAGACCACGTGGAAAATGAACATATTTTAGCTGCAGTTCAGTCATTTTCAGCTTTGTATTCTTGTTATAAAAAAGTGCACCTAGACCTTCAGTTGTTGTGCCCATAACCTGGGTTTAAGGTGCCATTTAGCTCCCAGCTTTCATATCTCAGTTTCTAACACTGTTGATAACACTTCAGGTTACAGTCTCTGCTAACCCAGAAATAGTACCTTGGGTTAAGAACTTTGCTTCAGGATGAGAACAGAAATTGTGCTCCGGTGGCGCGGTGGCAGCAGGAGGCCCCATTAGCTAAAGTGGTGCTTCAGGTTAAGAACAGTTTCAGGTTAAGAACGGACCTCCAGAACAAATTAAGTTCTTAATCTGAGGTACCACTGTACTATTAGAGATACATAGACAGATAATTATGAAATTACTGTGAGGTTTAATAAGTTAACTGTTTATATTTGGACAACTTTTCTGCTGTACTTTATTGGAAGGAGAAAAATAATCATTTTCTTAATAACAATTTAAACAATTTATTTAACTAAAGGTATCCATGTTTGTTAACTGATGTGGTTAAACTGTGGGGGTTTTTTAAAACAAAACTTAGTCTGAGTTTTAGCACACATGAAAAACTTAAAACAAATCCTTTTTTCCTGATGAATAGCCTTTGGACTATAATATAACTTAAATAGAAAACTTATCTTTAGAAAGATTTTTTTCTCCAAAAGCATTTTATTTTAAAACCCAATTTAAATTTTAAAAAATCCGATTTAAATTTTAAAAAATCTGATTTTTATCCAACCCATCTCTGTCCTGTGCTTGTCCCATCATTTCTTATGGAAACATGTGTTTTGACACGTTTTCCCCCAACCAGCTTCAATCTGAATTGAGATCAAGAATAATCTGGCTGCGTTTTAAATCAGCAATGTGCACACAGCCTCAGAGTCAGGTTCTGAGTGAGAGTTCCTAGAAAGCATGTGTAGGTCTGCAGCCTTAGTGCTAAAAGCAGTCCTTCCTGAGCAATGGTAACTCGCTTACTAGTTGGTGAAAAGGTGTGCATATCCTTAAGCAGTTAGCTGCATTTCCTTGCTT